ACATGTAATTCACCCCAACTCAACATGATGGAAAACACTGCATTAAATGTGACACTTTGAACTTATGTAATAAAGTCACATAGAGATTTAATATATGATTGAAATACATAAAGAAGCTGTTTTTTAAGGCATCGTTAAAGGGAAAGTTAGACTGATATATTTAAATGTGTGCTATTTGGTGCAGCTTGATTAAATCTAAGGGGACTGTGGGACCTTGTTGGCGGTGTGCGCTCTCCCCTGTGCCATGCATGTTTTAGTGCTGATGGTATAACTTTAGTTGAAGGTGCTTTTGACTTTTAGCCAATGATAGTGACCCAGCACACAGGAAACCGCTCTCCCCCGTAGGTCAAATTCTGCTCTACCTTTCCCTGAGTGTGCGGCGTCTCACTTGTGTTTGTCCTCTGGAGTAAAATCACGTCCTGTGGCTCCTGCAATGAGGCCAAAATGTACGCTGACTCAGGTGTTATGCAAGAGGGCTTTGGGCCGGATGTTCTGATGCTGCCGGGCTGCCCTGTGAGTGTTCAAGGAATATTCTTAAACAGAATAACTGCTGTTATGTAGGCCAGCGGCACCCCGAAGAGACAGCCATGGAAAGAACATTGCATAAATTAGAGGAACTGACCTTACATTTGTTCTCCGTCGTCGTCTAACTCAAGCAAAGGGAACAATTGAAACTTTACAGCGAACCCACATGGTTTTAGTGTGTGTAATGCAGTGAATCATGTGCGTGTGTGTTGCATAAGGCCGTCCCGCTGATGAGGCTGGAGCCAGGCCTTGCCTGAGAGTCTGTCCCTTGAGGAGCAGACGGCAACACACATGCATGCAGGAAGCACACAACTCACAAATCAGCTGATGCTCACTGCCTTCATACGCAAGATAAGCACATACTGCTCGTCTGGCTGGGGTGACAAAAACGCACTTGGCCTATATAAAGGATTATTTATCCTATTAAGTGTTATACTTAACTTATACTTTACAAAATGAGATCAAATAAAAGATCTGTGTCCGGATGCTGAAACAAACTGGTTTCTGTTTTGAAAGGTTTTGTCAATGAGATGTAAACACTAAATGATGCTGCTGTTACATACAAAAAGCGATTTGCATGTTTCAAACAATGCAAACTTCACTAACATCATAGAGATGCCTGTAGTTTCATACCAGTCGCAAAGTCTCTCCTCAAAATGTTCCACAGTTGCTGAAATTTCTCTCTCGTGTTTCATGGTCGTCTTGCTTGAGCTACACTGCCTATGGTTTTCGTTTTGTCTCGAAATCTGCGCACGTAAAAACACTGTGCACCCCTCACGAGTGCAAAACCATATTAGTGAGGGAGCATTTCTGCTTGGCCGAGACGAGCGTGAACTCACTCTTTCCTACGTGCTTGCAAATGCTCATCACTACCTGACAGTCACTCCCTTGTCAGGTTTGAAATTTGAGACTTTGGAAACGGGAACTCCGTCAGACGCTGCTCCTGGGGACGTGCGGATCAGAAATGCTTGGGAGTATGATTTTATGCTCGCTAATCTGGAGACTTACAACATAACATCCTGTGGAACTACTCCGTTGCGTCTGTTTCGTCCATATCTGTAAGCTTTGGGAAGACTTGCACAAATAGGAACGAAAAAAAAAAAAAGTAGAGAAGAAGTTCAAGTTCATTTCAGATAAGAGACAGAAGAAAAGAACAGGAAATGAAGAAAGATCTGATGAGTAATAGATAGAAGTGAATGAAATAAAGTAAGAAATGAAGCTGAAAACGACTTTGAGCCAGACGATGATTAAAAGAATAGAAGTGCCTCTGTGAGTGTTTCTGTTTTTCTTCTTTCCTCCGGGCTGAGGTTAGCGAGCCACCAGCAGAGCTGCAGCGTGAGGAAGCCGGGGGCCGAAAAAAGGCAGCTGGCCAGTGGCAGCACTAGTTCCAGACGAGAGGGGATCACAGGGTCGAGCAGCTCCAGCACAGGACAGCTTCGGTTCAGCTGAGATTTCAGCAGGAGGAGTTTTACAGCGGTAGTTCTGAAAGCAGGAGAAGGAAATTGTCTCTATGCAGTTGTATGCAAACTGCATGTAGAGTGAAAAGAAGTAAATATAACCCGTGACCCGTGCAAAGGCCCAACAGTCAACAATCTATATTCTCTGAAAAATTAATGAATACTTTGAAAAACATACGAAAGTGATCTGTCTAGTCTTTTTTAAATAAACAGAGAAACATATGCAGATGAAAACATGACCTCCTTGGTGGAGGTAAATAAAACCCCTGCAGCAATCAGACATTAAATGAGCCTCTCCTCAAACTCTTAACCAATAACAGTTCTCTGCAGGATCTATAGGAAGAAGAGTGGGAGAGAAAAGAAAAATCCTGAATCAGGAACAGAAAAATAAAGAAAAGCTTGTTATGAACTTGTTTGCTGCAGCACTTTGTATGTGCGTCTTTTAACTTAAAAAATATATAAAACATTCAAAATATGCAGCCTAATTTGCCCGGGGCTGTTTTTCCATAAGCAAAGTATTTATAGCTCTGATGAAACAAAGCAGTTTTTTCTTTGTGGTCTCAACAGTACATGGACATATTAACATATCTGTTTAGTTCAAATAATGCATCTATTTATTTAAGATAAAATAAACCCCTCTGTTTCTGCTCTCTCCAATCTGTTGTCCTTGGTTACTGTTCAAGGAACCACTTCGGGCTCTGTTTGTCTCGAACCCAAAATATAAACCGATGTGAAACCAAGCACCGTCACAGATTTGTCTGACGGCGTTTCGTAGAACTTGCTGTGTGGTTAAAACCCTCTCGTATCTGTGCTGTGATCAGTTGGCAAAAGTTAAATTCCTTTAATTGATCAAAGATGGACACGACATCATGTAACATGTGAGATTTCATTACACGTTCCTGCGTCTTTTCAGTTCAGGGTCTCCTCTGCAGTCACTGTCGACTACCAGAGCAAAGATCTCAGGATTTAACAAGTGACTTGTCACCAAGGAAACAAACAGGACTTAAACACAGCAGGTCTCTTTCTCACACCCTCTCTCGCTCTTATTACCGCCTGCAACCCGCTGTCGCCTGGGATGTTACATCAGGCTGTGGGAAGGGGTTTTTCCTCGCTGCCGCTCTGTGTCAGAGGAGATTGATTGTGATAATCCACCAGAAAATCTCTGCATTGTGTATTTGACTGAAATAGATTCAGGACCTGTAAGACACAGAGACACACTGCAAAAAAAAAATACAAGTTATGATCACATTCAAATCTAAAAATGAAATCTGATATTGAAGCATAAAATCTAAGATGGTTTTTAATGTAAGTTTTTACATTTTAATTTAATTTTAGAGGATTTTTTTAAATTCGACTTGACTCGGCCTGGATCATAAAGACTTTATCCCGCCTCCTCCATGTTAGCAGATGGGACAAGGACCAAATTAAAAAGCAAAAGTACACGTCAAATCGATTGTTCTCAAAATGGTTTATATAAGTTTATAGTTTTGGCTTCATTTCTGGATAGTGGGAGAAACTGAAGACATTGTGCATCTTTATCTACAGTGTATGTCCTGCAACAAGTTCAAAACATCTTTTTAAAGAGTCCACATGACATGAGACAAAGTTTTATGTCGTACAGTGAACTGATTCTCATTCAAGGGTTTTATACCTCAGCAGTCATTGGACGAGAAGCTGAAGCTTATTTTTATGCTTCAAGTCAATTACCCTGTATTTTCACACATCATAGCACAATGATTACGTATCGGACGCTACGCTTGTGTCTGTCGTATACTGGATGTGTTAAAATAACTCTGCTCTTTAAACAGCTCACTGTTTTTTATGGACGCTCATTGAATTCACTGAAATGTGATTTTGCAGGAGAATTAAATGTGCGGTTACACAATCAGTATTACAACTATATAAAAGTAATCTTGTGTGCATGATTCAAATACGCATTTGATTTGATAAAATAATTGTTGAGCTTCTATCCAATTTAAGGTGTGAAAAGAAGTGATTCAAAGCTCTCACCACTGTGTCCACTCCTCCTGTCACTCCTAATCTCCATCCCTCCATCCCTCCATTCCTCCTCCTCCTCCCTCGTCAGCCATCGCTGCCTCCACCCACAGCGATGGACCTGCTCCTGACTCGCCAAGTGTCCGGTTTCACTCGACCTCCCATGCAACAGTTCCCAGAAAACAATCAATTATTCTGGGAGAGGTGTACGTCACAGTGAGGACACTTAATCCTCTTCAACTTGAAAAGTGAATGGAGTAAATGTAGGAGTCTTCAAGTCTAAGTACATTAGAACATGTTAGTGCTGTTGATGTGTGGGCAGCGGCCGAAAGAACAAGTCTGTGAACCCTGTTAAAGAACCATAACACCCAGAATGCAGCTCACTTTTACGTGTATATTATAGGAACATAAGTAACCTTGTGCCCACACACAGCACAAACACACCCTGTTCTTGGCTGTGTAGCAGCCACTTACCCTGTGAGATTCATGTGAGCTTGTGAACTTTGTTTATTCATAGCTTTCTCCTCTTCTTCCTGAGGGTCCGCCTCAGAAAGACACTGAAACTGCTGCGATATCAAAATCACACCGTGACCATGCTGCCTATTCTTAACTGTATATAAAACTGGATGCAGCGTTTTCTGCTCGATTGGGGAACATTTTCTTTAAAATTAGATTTTGTAGAATTCTTTTGTTTCAGGATAGGTCTTGTGTTTTTCCATCATATTTTTAGAGATTTTCTATAAAGTTTCCTCCTTTAACTGTTCTATAACGATGAACAGTGGCTCAGCAGCAACACTACTTTGAGGGTTATTTTAACAAAAAGCTATAAACAAGTCATTCCTTTGTGGCATCACAACAGAGAGAGACACAGAGGCACATACCCGAGCTTCCTCAGCGATGTCCGCCTTTACATTAAACAACTCTCCATCCATTGAGCCGTCCATCCAGAGCACTGGGAGTTCCTGAGTGGGACGAAAGTAAGAACATGAAATGTTAACTTCCATCTCTCTTGTCTTTCTGCAGCATCTTGTTTGCAGACATCGAGGGTTTCACCAGTCTGGCATCTCAGTGCACAGCGCAGGAGCTGGTGATGACTCTCAACGAGCTTTTCGCCCGTTTCGACAAACTAGCAGCGGTAAGGATGCAGCCACGTGCATGTGTGCACAATATATAGTCATGCACACAAACTGTCAAAGTTTATTTTATTTTTTTTCATATCATGTGTTTTAGTTTGGAGAAGACACTCGTTTTTTATTCATGTAAATCGGTAGAAAATATGAAAGTACACACAAATAATTCACCAACTCTCTGCACAGATAAAGAAAAGTGTGACTCAGGTTCCAAAGATAAAACTTCACCTGCACTTATACTGACTTTGTGATGTGTCACACTAGTTTGAGATCCTTCTGGTGACTGTGACTGAGGGGATTACTCACATATTGAAGGTTATAAGATGAATCAGCTCAATAACACAGCGTACGCTCGCTCTACGCCCCGTACGCTTTTCTCCCCATTCACAAACACATTCATCCGGGTCATCTATGTGCAGATCAGTCTCACGCAGCATAGGTATGTGGACCACTTCAGGCAATAATCTGGTCCTTCTGACCGTCTTGTGGCCCGATGGATGTGAGCCAAAAGTAAAAGCCTACTTGTAAATTAGCAAATGTGGCCTAAACATCCCAGGACAAATGTGGGCCTTTTTTTGTAAACATGGAGAGGTGGACCTGAAGTGGCTCATCTTTATACAAAATCTGTGATGGGTCCATATCAGCCACATTCACAGCCCTGGGGGTTGAGCTGTGGGAGTCAGAAGACAATTCGGAGGGATCACACTGTGGTTGAAAGGCCAGTGAAGCAGAAAAACATGTTGAAAACAACAATCCCACAGAGGAAGAGTCATTCTCTGCATGAACAGGCCAAACCCTTAATTTCTTAGAAGCTTGGTTTCCACGAGAGAAGATGTAAAAAAGGCCAAACTGAGAAAGAGAAAGATTTATTTCTAAGGTGCCCTAATGTCTGAGTATCCCCCTCTGTCTTAAACACATCTGTTAATTCAATATGCTCCTTATGTCAATATGTTTTTGTACTGAATTGAAAAATACAGGGAAAAGTCCCAGCATCACTCCAGAGTTTCTGTTTTCTATCTCCTGCAGCCACACGTCGGTTTAGAGCTTATTTCTAATATCTGAGCTGCAGCTTTACATTCACAAATATTGATCTTTTGCTTTTGAACCCAGAAGCTTCACTGTTTGTCCAGCAAATGCTCAATAAATGTCATTTGTCTGTAAAAAGGTGACGCAACGTGCAAATCAATTACATTTTTCATGCCTGCGTGGAAACAGGCATAATGGCATTATAAAGCTGAAATGCTGCTGCTGACACTTTTATGGTAGTGACACACACACACACACACACACACACACACACACACACACACACTTTCTCTGTGTGTGCTCTTTACACAGTGAGGCTTTTTGTATTTTCTCAGAGCCATGTGCTGGAGATACTCAGGAGGCTATCATGAGACACAGTGTTCCCCCGAGCCCTACGGACACACACACACACACACACACTAGATCTTGGCCGCCCGACACATTGCAGTGTTCTTTGAGTTATCAGGCTGATGTGTGAATAATGATAATAACAGAATTAATCATCTTTCTGAAGAAGTTTTCGTTCTGTAAAAGGTGTTATACTTAATAAACAGTATAACAGCTCCACATGAGACGACATCCTCAAAAGAAGCCGTCAGAAGAATCAATATCCAATAGACTAATGAACAAATAGAACAAATAAACCTATTACAGTGTCGCCAACAAACAGGCAGTCAATGAAGATCCAGTAAAATCAGTTATGTCTCCAATAAAAGTGTGGTTGAAGAAGTCATTTAAAAGAGGTCAGTGGTTGTGTTGCCCTGGTTTCCTCGGGCGGTTTGCTCCATGGCTGCGTACTGGCTCATATGTGACTAAGAGGTCAGATGTAGAGAAAGAGGCCGCAAGGACACGGTCTCTTCTCTCGAGTCTCGTTAAAATCTTTTGCGTTCTGTGGAATCTGGAGCAGATTCTCCGATTTTTTTTTAAATCAACATGGGTACTTCAGTCCAACATGTACATGTGGCGGATTAAGTCCCTGCGGCCTCAAATTCACGGAGTCGATGCTCGAGGAGATGAAGACGTGTGAAGTGATTTCTGCGACCTTGAGAATACTGTGATTAAAAACAAGCGACGGCACAATGACTCAGTGAGTTTGAGTAAGAAGTCTGTTGTTATTGCATCAACTGGACTGGCAACAGCTTTCATAAGGGATTCCAGATCACGCACAGAATCATCTGATCAGAATGAGTTTTAATTATTTTCAGGGAATATAATTCACAGGAGGATGTAATAATTCACAGATTGTAAACTTCACTTACACTGCTCTTATTTTTGCTGGACTGTAAATGAATGTTTTAAGATCACAAGTGATCAGAAGAAACCATTGCATCTCCACTGATCCAGTTCTAACACCACGGTACCTGTGAACCCGGTCTTACATCTCTGTTTCTGTATGTACGATGAGTATAAGTGGAACAAACTGCAGAATATCCAAGGGAAGAAATAAAAAAGTTGCTGTACATTTCTAGTAAGCTGCTTTTTCGTTGTCAGGAGAACCACTGTCTGCGGATCAAGATCCTGGGCGACTGTTACTACTGCGTGTCGGGGCTCCCGGAGGCGAGGGCCGACCACGCCCACTGCTGCGTGGAGATGGGGATGGACATGATTGAGGCCATCTCGTAAGTTACCGTTTAACGAGCAATCATTTTACACATTTCCACTCTTGGTAATTCAATATTTTTTGCTCGTGCAGGCTGGTACGGGAGGTGACTGGGGTGAACGTGAACATGCGAGTGGGTATCCACAGCGGCAGGGTGCACTGCGGAGTGCTGGGCCTCAGGAAGTGGCAGTTTGATGTCTGGTCCAATGACGTCACATTAGCAAATCAGATGGAAGCTGGGGGCCAAGCTGGGTATGTCTCCAGATCAGACAAACTATAAAACCGTCCCTGTTAGCGTTGTACATCTGAATATACAGCGTCCAGACAATCATCCTTTATGTGTGTGTTTTTCTGATTTCAGGCGTATTCATATCACCAAGGCCACTCTGAACTATCTGAACGGGGACTATGATGTGGAGGCAGGAGCCGGCGGGGAGAGAAACGCTTACCTGAAGAAGAACAACATCGACACCTACCTCATTGTGGGCTCCAGTCAGAAAAGGGTAATGTCCTTGTGATACTCATTTGTAAGATAATTTAAAAAAAAAGGGATTTAAAGCTGTGACATGAAACCATTACAAATTAGAAGACTAAAGAAAACGTTGTCGAGCTGCAGAACAGAGGATTGAATGTCTGTGGTTCATCAGTATGACACATATAGTTGTGTTTTCACCCCCCTGTCAGCAGGATTCCGCAAAAAAATCTGAAGGATTTCCATGGAACTCAGTGGGAGGATGCAACAGGGGCCAAGAAAAAAATTAAATAAATAAAATTTGGCACTTCTTCAACATTGCCAGACAGAACATCACTGAAAGAAATAAGAAAAAGAAAAGAAGTGATGCAGCTTCAGAAATGTGGTTTGAAAATGAACAACAGGGGAAAGCTTTTAAAAAAAAAAAAAGAGTTTCTGCCACTTCACCATCGATGGATTTAATCCACAGTCCATGTTGCACATATCAGTGTTTACAAACGGGAACTGTCACATGTGTTCCAGAGAGGAATTAGTTCATCTCTGCTTTACTGCACGAGCTCCAGTTTCTTTATGACTGTACTGGTTCTATCAGCTGTCTCTGTCCTCCAGCACGATCACAAGCTGTGACTATAGATAGCGCGTCATGTGATGTCCTCCCCTCATTTTGCTGCTCATGCTGTGAGACAAAAGGACGAATGTTCAATCTAATTATTTTGGGCTACTTTTATATCAGTATATTTCTTTTTAATGCATACTAGAGACAGAACGCAGATATCAGATCTGTAGAAATGAAAAAGAAATCCAAAAAAGAAGCTGAAATTGATTATTTATCTCGGGGATAATCCTGCAGAATTAGAGTTGGATAGTTTTATTAAATGAACTGTATAAAGATATGCATGTAATTCTTGGCTGAACTGTGTGACAGCATCATATCTTTCTCCATTAAATCTACTACAAATCAATGATGGAGCCAATTAAACCTTTTCACAGTCTAATTTACATTCTGCTTCATTTTTAATCATATTCCATCTTGGAGAAAAAACGAATTTAATTTGAAATTTCAAATAAAGGAAGATGCAACAAATAAAGACTGTTTTCCTAAAAAAGGCGACTGACAGAAAGGAGCCAACCGACGCTCCAGCTCAAATCAGAGGAATCAACAACGACCACTTGTACTCCTCTTTATGTTTTTACTGCCGAGCACTAAATGAATAATAAATGCTGAACTTGATTTGACTTCACTTCTGCATCTCTGTCTCCTCCAGAAAGAGGAGAAGGCGATGATCGCCAAAATGAACCGACAGAGGACGAACTCTGTCACTCACAACAGCGGCCACTGGACCGACCGGCCTTTCTACAACCACCTGGGCGGAAACCAGGTCTCCAAGGAGATGAAGAGGATGGTGAGTGAAACTTAAAAACAGTGGTCGTTGTCGCATTAATAGCGTCCTGACAACAGCAGTTCAAACAGCCAGGTGACACTTCTGCCAGGATCACATTTCAGATCATATTTGATGTCGAAGCCAGCAGATTGTTAATACCCATAATCCTTTGATGTGCAGCCCTGATAAGCAGGGATGATGACCCTCCATGCCACACTCCGCCTCTCACACCTCACCCTGCGCTCTGAGAGGCTCTCAGGAGCTCTCAGGGAGACAACAGCAACATGTAGGCGGCCGCAATGCAGCGGGTACCACAAGCAAAAACAAGAGACCACCCCCGTCGTTCAAACTTCAGCCTCTCCTCGCTTCAATTTGATTCAGAGGAAGAGCTTGAAATGAGCCGGTGGCGGCGCAGGGGATGTGACCGCATGGAGAATCGCTTTTATTTACGTGACGTGGCTGATGCTCCCTGCTGCTCCGACGCTGCAAACAGTGACTCACACAGTGAATGGATGCACCCACATCTGAAACACACACACACACACACACACAGGATTGTGTTTTGTTCATATCCTCACTCCACCCACCTCTCACCATGAATCTATTACAGGAAAGAAGATGAGCGCTGCGTCCTCAGTTTGAAGACTGTGCATGAGTTTCCACATCAGTGACTTTGATATGATTATCGGTGTTTTGACCCACAGTTGTTTTTAGAGAATCTGCAACAGCGTGTGGGTATTTAGCGTCATTAGCAGCAGCTGGTTTGACTGAACAAAACAAGAGAAGAGCGCCACCTACTGAAACTGTAAAACTCAGAAGGGATTTAAAATGCCTTGTTTTTGTCTGATTATCTGCTGAGATTCAGGACGAGTGATTACCTGACGTTGTCCCGTGCTTTTTAATTTTAACTCCTATTAATAAGACGTGTGTGTCACCAGTGTCTTTGCACCACTCACCAAAGTTTCCAGAGACAATAGCTTTTGTCCTGAACATTCATTTGTCACGGTTCATCCTCTGGCTTGTCTCCGTCTGAGTCTCTTCTCGTTAATCGCCCGACAGCTCTGGAGATAAAGAAAGTTGTGCAGCATGAGGAGCAGGAGGGAGGGAGATCTGACAGACAGAGAGGCAGGAGGGTGGCGTACGGAACGTCTCTTTTGTTTTGTAAACTCAGACGTGGAGCCCAGCAGTCGAACTGTCGATGAATTCCAGGATTTTACTCGTGTGTTTTTCCATTTCCACTGTTTATTCAACCGCTTTATTCAACCACATCACCAAGGTGATGAGAGGAGTCAGTGAACAGACAGGAGAGCCAACGCTTTTACCTTGAGCTTTCCATCTGGTGTTGTTTTTTTTATCTGAGGTCAAGATCTTTGCTCATTGAAGCCAGATGTGCTCCTGATGTTCCCCTCAGCATTTACATTAACGATTCTATGCACAAGAGGGAGCTAGAGAGACGGCTACAGAGAGGAAACCTGATCGGATTTAACACCCGACAGTCAGCTGATTAGAAGAGGAGAATATTGTGAATGGGGGAGACACAGAAACTTTTCCTGATGGAACTTCAGTACAACTGCAGAATTAGCCTTTTCCAGCTGATTGTTTACCTTTTGCTCATTTCTCTTCTCCTCTCTTCTCACAGGGTTTTGAAGACCCCAAGGACAAGTGAGTAGTTTTCTCTCCTTCATCGTTATCCTGTCTTTCCTCTCCTCCTGCTCTTTGCTCTGTCTTCACACCTGAAATCAATCTGCACTCGCTCCTGCTTCCTCCTCCACCAGGCACAGATCTTTAAATAGACTCAAAGAGCAGTTAATAACAAACTGTCATCGGCTCTCAATGGTAGAAAGTCTCACTGCTGATTTATTCGTTCTGCTGTTTCCACTCTTTGGATAAAAAAAAAAAAAAAGAAGCACAATCACATCAGGAGTCATGAAGTGTTGAGACTTAATGTTGCAGCTGCTTATTGCTGATATGAGCGTCCATTAGCTTCTTACAAGCATAAAGAAAGAAGCACAGACGGTGATGGCTAACACCACAGGAGGACAGATAAATAACTCAATTGATAATTTGAATTTCGACTTTTGAAAGGACCCAAAAAATGATTGTTAAAGGTCTTTAACTTATTCCCTTAATTAAAGTTTCTTTCAGTAGAGCACATACCTCCCCCGAGGCCAGACAGGCAGGTTTCATAGCTGATTACTGCTGATTAATGGAAACGTGTAGTTAAATAAGATCCGCCCGTCCAGCAGTGTTTGTAAGTGTGATAAAGTTTAGTCCGATTTTTTAAGTGTTTATATTATTTTGTCTAAATTCAAATGTTTGGTTTCTCTATAGAGTTTTGAGGTTATAAAGTAAATTACCTTGAGATGATGTATACAGATCAACACAGCTGCAGAAGTTCAATCAATGGAAGTGAAAGTTAGTTTAGTGTTTAGCACAAGATGAGACGGATCATCGGTCTTTTCAATTTGCAAACAATTATTTAAACTTTAATGCACCTCTGAGTTCAGTAAGACGTCAGGGTCCATTTAAAAGTTTTCCTTGCACAGTGGAAGGAGAATTACCTGCAGGTGTTCAGTGTCTCTTAGAAAACGCAGCGCGGTAAAATTCCCAAGAGGCTTTTTCCGTTTTTCTTGATGTGTGAATGTCATCCAGTCTCATCTTGTTTTATTCAGGCATTTTATTTTCAGAAACACGCAGGAAAACTTAAACCCAGAGGACGAGGTGGACGAGTTCCTGGGCCGGGCCATCGACGCGCGCAGCATCGACCGCCTGCGCTCCGAACATGTCAAGAAGTTCCTGCTCACCTTCAGAGAGCCCGACCTGGAGAAGAAGGTGAGGGCACACACACACACACACACACACAGTTGCATCTTTTTACAGAATGTAAGAAAACTCTGTCATCACTCTGTCACTGAAATGTTGTTTCCGTCTTCTCCTCTCCCTCCGTGCTGCAGTATTCCAAACAGGTGGACTCCAGGTTCGGAGCCTACGTGGCCTGCGCCTCCCTCGTCTTTCTCTTCATCTGCTTCATCCAGATCGTCATTGTTCCTCCGTGAGTCGACACTCTGATATGAAACACTGCAGCAGAGCAGACATCAGGAGCCGCTTCACTCTTCTTAACGTGCCTCCACTACAGACTCAAAGTGTTGTGATTAGAAAGTGAGATGACAGTAATTTGGCTCCTCGCAGACGCATCTGTCGTTTCACCAACAGCAGGATGCTAACAGATGCTAACAGGTCCTCTTTCTTTAACCTCCTCTGTATTCAGACGCTCCTCCCTCCACCTCTCTGTATTGATCTCCTTCAGTCTCCCTCTTTATTAACCTTTCTCCTGGATCCCTTCATCTCACCACTCCTCTCGTCTTCTCTTCCTGTCTCAACCTCTCGCTCCTCCTCAGAGGAGTTAAAGCTGTTTCGGCTCTTCCTCTTCTGATGCTGCTGCTCTCCTCTCCTGTCAAATTCATGCAAAAATATATTGTTTACTTCCTTTATTTTCCAAGGTCATCATCTCCTCCTCTGCCGAGACTCAGACAGTATCTCAGAGTAACCGTAAATGATCAAATAGAGCCAGAAATAAAACACATGTATATAATCACATCTTATCTCCGTGTTGTCTGCAGCTCCCGTCTGATGATCGGCTTCTTCGTCACTTGTCTCATTATCCTGACGGCCGTGATGTTCGTCTCAGCTATTTACTGCTGTTTTGGGGTGAGTTGTCTCTGCTTGTGATGAACGGCAGCTCCGAGCAAACTCAGTTCGAAGACATTCATCTTTTCTTGAGTAATTATAGGATTTTTTCAGGAGGTGGGATGCGGTTTTGTGGATTGTATGTCAGCAGAGATGGACTGACGGCTTTTTCCTCCAATTGACTTTATTATTATTGCTTTATATGGAAGAAAGTATCCGACATTTGTTAAATCTGTTGACAGGCTGCAGGTTTAATGACGTCCTCAGCGATGAATGTTGACACACTCCAGTTCTTTTTAGACACGAGTTTATGTTTAAATCTCCAGAGCAGATGTCACCATGCAGCTCTGTTAATTATTTTTAATTCAAAAATAATCATCACATAAACCTTGCTCCTAAAATACCAGAGCCATGTTGGTGTTAATCATAGATTGTACGTAAAAATGGACGTAGACTCGAGTCCGGAAAGTGAAGCCAATGCAGATGAGCCGATCCGTCTTTGTCAGATCCTACCTAATCCTAATTATTTTGTAGTATTGTCACCACAGAGCAGATCTCACCTCACTAACCACACCATCCATCTCCTGCTCCCTCTGCCTCTGATCAGCCTTGAGAGACTGAAAGGATCTTAAAAGATAAAAGTGGAGCTGCTGCTGCTGTTGACGGCTTCCACTGATGACTCATGGTTCTATTCTGGGAGAAAAGTACGAGTACTGAACGTACAGTCAGAACGTTTTGTGTCAGTCCTCTCATCAGATACCAGGAAAAAATGCTTTGCATCACTGCCAACTGTCTCATTAAAAGATGAATTTATTAAGTTGCTGCAAATAAAATCATTTAACAACAAACTAATTATTCTCTTGCAAGGACAAATAGGCTGGTCGAAGGGATGTGGGTATCGATGAGAGAAGGAGGAAAAAAGGGATGAGGGAAGAAGGAAGAGAGGTTGAAGGGATGTAGGTAGGGATGACAGGAGGATGAAGAGATGAGAGAAGGATAGCACAGGGATGAGAGACTGTGTATAAGAAGACAGCTGATTAGAGGTGTGGTTGAGGCTCGTGAGTTAACTTCACTCATCTTCTCCTCCTCACTCATCCCTCTCTTTCTCTCCCAGCTGTTCCCCGGGGCTCTGCAGACTCTCTCCAGGAGGATAGTCCAGTCCAGATTGAACAGCACGCTGGTGGGCGTCTTCACCATCATCGTCGTCTTTCTGTCTGCTTTCATCAACATTGTAAGTTCTCATCAGCACAGTATTCTTCTTCCTCTTCAAAGCATTTCAACTCTTCAGGAACAGTTCCCTCTTCTCCCTCCACCCGTCACTCACTGACTTTTGACTCTGTTCAGTTCACCTGCAGCAGCCACGACCTGCAGAGCTGCATCAGGTCCGAGCTCAACATCAGCCAGGGCAGCGTGGACGCCTGCCACGCCCGCCTCCTCAACTACAGCCTGGACACACAACACAGCCCCTGTGTGGCCGACAGCCTCATCTGCAGCTTCCCTGAGGTACGTGTGTGTGTGTGTGTGCGCGTGTGTGTCATGTTGAACAAATAAATTAGTTCAGCAATGACCCCTAAGGTTTTTAACGGGATCTGTCTGCAGGTACAAACATTCATTCTGCACAGTAAAGTTTGAATTAAAAGTTAAATTCTCCCGTTTCCTCCCTCAGTACTTCTCGTGCTGCGTGCTGCTCAGTCTGCTCGCCTGCTCGGTCTTCCTGCAGGTCAGCAGCCTCGGAAAACTCTTCCTCATGCTCTTCATCGAGCTGCTCTACCTCCTCATCATGGAGGTGCCCAAAGTGAGCCTCTTCGACAACCAGGACCTGCTGGTCATGGCCAACGCCATCAACCTCGCGTGAGTAACCTCAGTACGGCTCAGTTGTGTTGTTGTGCTTGTGATGTTTTAAATCTTTGACTCTGACGTCTGATTGGCTCTTCTCTCTTCCTCCCACCACAGCGAGCACATGAACGGAACAAGGTGAGTCTGATGAAAGCTTCTGTTGCCGTAGAGACCCAGAGAGTCGGCTCCATCATCCGGCATCATGATCACTGTGCTGGCACAAATGAAACTATAATGTCCTGCTGGCAATACATGCTAACGCTATTGAGGGCGGCTTGTTTTTCTGTCGCATGGCGAAAGTCCGTCTTTACAGCCACATAGTTCAACTTGATCATAATGACTTCATCTGACATTAGTGCTCAGTATAAACATGTGAAAACCGTTCCTGTGTGCTGCTCCCCAGCTGTGTGGTGGACACGAAGGTTCCTCTGAAGATCATGACCCCGGTGGTCATCACCGTCTTCGTCCTCGCTCTCTACCTTCATGCTCAGCAGGTGGAGTCCACGGCCAGACTTGACTTCCTGTGGAAGCTGCAGGTGAGTGACACAATGAGGAGACATGACTCAACTTCTCTTTTGATTTATAACGTCAGTCAACATTTTCCTGACGAGTCTGTCGGCTCAGTCTTTAGTTTCAAGTCTGCGTTAACACGGTGACGTTCATACTGTGTGATTGACAGCTAGTACCGTCCAATCGGTGCAGGTCACAGATGTAGGTGCACTTGCAGGCTCCACCCCTCCCTCCTCTAAATATGGTCACATCTGATGGCACTGGACAAAATGCCAAAGTCAAGGCTTTGAAAACGGCAGCTCACAAACCAATGGGTGACAGCAGTTGGGTTTCAGTTTGAAGAAGAGCACACCACAAGATGCTCGAAACTTTTCTCCTCTCAGGCCGGGGACAGGGGATGAGCGATTTCTACTCAAATGTGCAGTGAAGTGTTCATTTCATAATAAAATGTCCTCAGACTGTGGTTGGTAATCCAGTCGAGAGGCTAAACAAGTTATCTGTGTAAAAAAACTTGGAGTTGCTGGAGGAGTCTGTTTCAGCTCGGCGCTGTCACTGATGGTTAATATTAAAACTAGTCTCCAGCCATGTTAGCAGCTCTGTGGCGCTCGGAGCAAAGGGAATACACAAAACACACGAGGTAGGAATTGAAGAGGTGGTAGAACAAACATCTGTGGAAACGAATGAGTGTTTTTCATTGACTCTTTTAATCTCTTCACCAGGCCACGGAGGAGAAGGAGGAGATGGAGGAGCTGCAGGCCTACAACCGCCGCCTGCTCCACAACATCCTGCCCAAAGACGTGGCCGCCCACTTCCTGCAGCGCGAGCGCCGCAACGACGAGCTCTACTACCAGTCGTGTGAGTGCGTCGCCGTCATGTTCGCCTCCATCAGCAACTTCTCCGAGTTCTACGTGGAGCTGGAGGCCAACAGCGAGGGGGTGGAGTGTCTGCGGCTGCTCAACGAGATCATCGCCGACTTCGATGAGGTGAGACGTGACACAGATGATTTGATTCTAACAACATGTATCTATCAACCTTCAGAGATTAAAGCTTCTTCTCCTGTCCACGTTAGATCATCAGCGAGGATCAGTTCCGTCAGCTGGAGAAGATCAAGACCATCGGCTCCACCTACATGGCGGCGTCCGGCCTCAACGACTCTACGTACGACAAGGTCGGGCGCTCGCACATCCGCGCTCTGGCTGACTACGCCATGAGGATGATGGACCAGATGAAATACATCAACGAGCACTCCTTCAACAACTTCAAAATGAAAATAGGTGAGCTGCAGATGGATCAGCTACCTGCCAACCAAGTAGAACAAATGATTTACCCTCTGTGATATTTGTAAGAGTAAGTGTTAATTGATCTTCACGTCCCGAGTTCAGGTAGTTTGGTTGCGATTAATACTTTGTGTGTTTCCTCTCTCAGGTCTGAACATGGGTCCTGTAGTTGCCGGGGTGATCGGGGCCAGGAAGCCTCAGTACGACATCTGGGGAAACACGGTGAACGTGGCGAGTCGCATGGACAGCACCGGAGTACCGGAGAGGATCCAGGTGTGTTCATTAATCCAAAAGCATTTTGTACACAGATGGAATTCATTCGTCCATCGAAACATGTAGAATATGTTGGATTTTAACCGTGACATCTTTTAAATTATAAATCTAATGAGTCATTGGGTGCTAAAGATAAAAACTCTTCCTGCCCTCAGGTGACCGCAGACCTTCACCAGGTGCTGAGCTCCTACAACTACACACTGGAGTACAGAGGGGTGGTCACAGTCAAGGGCAAAGGAGAGATGATGACCTACTTCCTGACCAGCGGACCCCCCAGCAGTTAACACTACACTGAACGACAAACAAGACACGTGGGGGTGAAGCGCCTCTGCAGCCTCTGTCGCAGCCTCACGGACCTCTGATAGCTTACTGAGACGAACTGAAGCTTCTCACAGCCTCTTCTTCTGAGGCCACAACGAGGACGACGGATGACGAACCTCATCCCCAAAGCTCAGCCTGCGGAGCAGACTGCAGCGGGAGAGGCCTGGCGAGCCCGACTCTGACGTTGACACCAAAGATGTCCAATCAGAGCGCATGGACGGACAGATTTCACCAGCTTCGCGAGGTCCTGAAGGAAATAAATGTTCTTAGCAATTTTTACTTTCTTCCATCTGCCAGACGGGTTTGGAAGAACCTGCGGGAAGACACAAACTATGTCGCTTCCTCCCTCATTCTGCCTTTCTCCTGCTGAAGTACACGTAAAACACACAGTTTTATGTGTTATGTATACGATTCTATGTACTGTATGTAAAACACATGTTGTCGTGGCGCAGGTACACATCTCTGACAGTGTGGACACTCCGCCAGCACCGCAGCACTACCTGTCCGTTTCTGATCATGTCAGCAATTCATTGATTAACGGAGGAGTTGCACTAAGTTGTGTCTCATCAGCGAAGTGTGAGGACGTCCCTCAGCGACCGATTGGACGTTATTTTATTTTTTTTGTGAGGCACACGACGCTCAGCGGTGTTTACAGAACGCTCCCCGTCAGACGTATGAAATCACAAACTCACACCTCAGTATCATCAGCGTATACAGAGAACACACTAAGAGGATGTCAATGAAGAGCTTTTTTCTAATCTTCGACATTTTGTATTTTGACTTCAGAACACCAAACCCCTATCAGATATTTTAAGATTCTATATTTTGTACATTAATATATTAGAGAGCTATCTATTAAAACACCAACGTGTATTCAGATGTACATACTCTTACCACGCTCACGTTGCCGGGTCTTAACGTGGAGCCACGGCTGGTGAGCCGTTAACTTCAGCAGATCGACGCCCGTTTAGATTTTTCTTTTCTCGCTCTTTTTCACCGAATTGAGCGTTTTTCCTTTTTGCCTGCAGGAAGTTGACCGTTCGCTGATTAGACGGCGTTTCTGATGATTTTCCTTCCCCGGTGCGTTTGAATCTCACAGCGAGGAAGGAAGCGTTAAACCGAGCGAGTGCGCACTTTGAATGACGAGAGGACGAGGAATGCATCGGCCCTCGGTGCTCAAAAAGCCATTTAGCGCTCCGGTGCGTTCAGCCGTCCACCCCCCTCCCTGCGCCGCTCCACACCCCCCCCACCCCCCTCTTCTTGCTCGCTCAATCAGATGGTACGACCCAATGAATGTCCAATGATCTCCGATGAGGCCTTTAACATGAACTCTACACTAATGACGGTGACGATGCTCATCCTGTGGACAGGGAACGACGAGCCCGAATGGAAACGTGCCCTTTTATCTGCTGTCGTTTTTTGTTTTGTTTTTCTTATCACAGCAGTTTTCTTCAGTATTACGTCATCCAACAAACTGTCATGGATTTTTAGTGATTGTCTAAACACTACACTGGTTCTGAGTTTTTAAATGGAGGAAATGAGCAGACTTGAGGTGGAGGTCATTATTCCAATATGTATTTTTTAATTGTCAACATTTCTCATGGAAAAAAAACAAAATCACCTTCAAGTGTTGACTTTCCTACCGTTTCTCTGTCCCTGTTTGTTTCTGAAGTCTTAAAAACACTGGAGTTATTGTTGAACAATAGTCAAACAGGAGGTAATAGAACATTTATCGGGACTGGTGACGTGTTTAGTGAACGTTTCCTCTGGGATGCTGCATGTAGGATTGACGATTGAATACAATGTGTGGAGGCTTGACTGCCTTAAATAGAATCTATTAATACCCTGATCAAGAACCAGTAACAGTAATTAAATTGGCTTTGATTGGTTGTGTTGATAGAAACTCGTCAGTAAGATGGTAAGAAGTGGACTTTGATTGGACAGATGCAACATGTCGGCAGACGTTTGGCCAATCAGAGCCCCCGGCTGCTGCTCCTAGGGTTGGACTTGAAGTTAAAGGTGGAGATTATATGAACATGTCAATCAACGGAATTTCCAAAACTGATAAAACAATTTTAGAAAATAATTTCGTAATTTCATTAAAATTATTGAATTAATGAATCATTTAAAGTCATATTTATTTAATTATGAGTTTAATAATGAATGATTAAATCAACACAACAATAGATTTCTGATTTAAATTTAAAACAACAGCTTCCATGTTCAGTGCGACTCACAGATGTTCTTTAAAGAAGAGGAATAAGACGAATCAGGGTTTGACACAGGGATCACTTCTTGATTTAGTTTTTTTTTCTTGGGGTTTGTTGACAGTTTGAAAAAAAAAATGACTTCAGCTCGTTTCCTGTTTAAAAATAACAAGAGGAACCTGTCACTTTGCTTTGAGCCTGAACAACAGAGCGTCTGCACCGGTGGTTTCTCTTTGTTACTGTACTGCTGCAAACCATCATCATGCACCAAAACCTTCAGCGTGATCCCGTTAGACTCATTGAATTCGGTGCTTGTTCTGTGAGCCCTGTTTTTTTTTTTGTTTTTTTTCTTTCTACTGTTGATTGTGCAGGAACGTGCCATTAGAAACCCAGGGGCTCATAGAGGAGGCCCAGATGTGAGGTGGAGGCTGCAGCTGTCACACGCTCTTTATCTTCTCCGCAGCCACGAGGGGCCTCGTGGTGACTTTGAGCAGGTGACGCAGCGTCTGTGGCAAAAACAGCTCGAGAGACGAGAGCGTGGGTTGTTTTTGTTGTCATGCCAAACACTATGCTCTTTTTTTACAGTTGAAATAAACTGCTGAGATTCTTCACAGGTACACGTGGACTCTTTTTCTGTCTTGATCCACCTGAGGTGTCACTTCACAGATTTAAGCGATTGGATTTTAACTTTGTGCTAAACTGCTGCAGGAAACTCAAGTTTTATTTATTAAATCCATGAAGTACGTTTACTTTCTTACTGTTCTCAAGCAGGTTTTTTACATTTGTGTATCTGCACTTAAGTTATTTTCAGGTACTTTTTACTTTTACTCCACTACATATATCAGCAAGTATCTGTGCTTTCTACTCCACAGTATTTTTACAAAGCAATGCACTGCATGTTCAAATAGTTCTTTTAATAGTTTTAGAAGTAATAAATAATGAGTGGACTGGGATCAGTTATCCAATCAGAGCAGGCAGGTAACATTAGACTCCACCTCCTGCAGAAGAAACACCTGACATGGATTCCGAGGACGCCACCGTCAAGACTCAGTGATGCAGTTTCATAAGGAGAAAAGTACTTTTACTTTAAGTTCATTTAAAAGCAAGTACTTCCTTAGTTTTACTCAAATAGATAAGTTAATGAGGTGGTATTACTTTAGTGCATATCTGTGTATTTCTTGACGTATTAAGACTTCAGACTTGCACATTCTGGGAAAAAGTAAATGGACACAATGTGATTTAGAATCATACCCTTGGTGTCCAGAAAGTTTTAGGGCTGCAACAATGTGCTTCCAACTTCAAAGTCCATTAAAGTCCATTGTTTTAAACTACATGATTACCAATGACATGAATGTCGACCTCAGACGTCCACATACTCATGAAAATATGATTATTTTAGTGAGAAATTCCCTTTTTTATAGTTTTAAATGAATTAACAACAACCAGCAGTCAACCAACAGATGGCAGCAGCACGACGTCGTCTGGGTTCTATACACCGGCTCCTTTGCCTTCTTCTGTTTAGAAATGATGGAAGGGAAGGAAGCAACGTGATCATCTGCTGTTTAGTACCCTGAGTGGCGTCTCATCCATCACAGCTTCAATATCTGTTTTTATACACGAGTCAAATTACATTGAGTGAGAGTGAATGAGGGTCTTGGTTAAGAGTTAATTGAATAACTCTTGATAAGTAGCAGCGTTGGCCTGTAATTAAAATCAAATTCTCTTCATTTAAATGAAAGGTGCAGTTCTGAGCTGTGCAGCAGCCGATAACCACTTTTTTCTCTTCCCACAGCAAACTCAAACACATGTCGGAGCAAACATCCTCCTCAGAGCCTCCTAATGATTTTGACCTTTTTGAACAGCCACCCTGTGAGAGTCCCTGGCTGCGAGCTGTGCCACAGAAACATTATCGCCACCGACATTCACTTGAGTTCAAATTGTCCTCGGAGAAGTCAACAATTTATACCTGCAGACCCCACTTGACATTAAACCCACACACTTCCTGCTCCCATAACGATACATAGCTGCTCCATTAATCTACATCTGGAGGAAAAAGCACAAGTAACATCAATTACAATCATCATTATCATAATATCTCTTATGCCACTGCTGGTAAAATAAAAATAAAAACTAATTGCTACCTGAAAAAAACAGATTGAACCGCCTCTGATTCACAAAAACTAAAAAATACATTCAATATTTTTTGAAGAATGCGATGGTTATTATTTTAATGTCCCAGAGCTGCACTGAGGGAGAATTAGTTCTAATACAAGAGTTCAGATGGAATAAACAGGACCAGGTCACATCACGATAAATCAATGAGTCTCCATTCATGCCATTACACTGCTTGTCTAATATTTTTAATACTGAAAGTGGGCTGACATCAGGTGAGAGGCAGAGTCACCGTTATATCACAGCGACATTTTACAGAGATAAACAAACTTTTCACTGTCACATTAACTCTTATATAATAATTTAGAGTCTCCAATTACCCTAAACCCAGTCTGCATGTCTTTGGACTGTGGGAGGAAACTGGAGTACCTGGAGAAGATCCACGCAAACATGTGGAGATCACGTAACTCCGCACAGAAAGACTCCTCGACTCCACTCCACTTCATTAGTGACACAAAAAAACTCAGATATACTTTAAATCCAGTGTTCATATTAGAGCCATTCTTTTCCACATCTGCAATTCCTGAATGTAACCCTGCATATACAATTAAGTTTCATATCATTTTGTGAACTAATAACATTAAAACGACTACGTTTTTTAAAACCTGGAAACAATCGCATCCTTTTTCCAATTCATGCACAAACCAGTATAAAACCCTTGTAAGTCAATTTTTCCAATTGTACACGACACGCATCTTCTGTAACTGCTGTGGAAAAAGAGAATGTGAACATAAACAACTGGAGCCAGTGAAGTACAATCCAGACCCAATCAAATCCGAGCCATATTGTGTAAGGAGCCATTAGGTCATGTAGGTGTGGTGCCGCTGCTGGAAAGCGAGGGAACATTCTCTGAACACAGTGATGAATCATACGAGGCTGAAGTGAAGCAGCGCTCCCCAGACAGATGTGGAGTGCAGCTGCCAGATGGACACCGAGACTAGTTGCGTGTATTTACTTCACTTTAACTGCGATCGGTAAAGAAATGAACATTATGACGCTCTTGGCACAACTGTTGAGCTTCTCAGAAACAATGAACAACAAAGGCGTGACTCACGTCTCTACCCGCCCCCATTTGTTTACTATTATTTGTTGTGATGCTGCAGGAAGCCGGGAAATCTTCCCATCGTTTCAGAAACAAAACTCACGCAGCTTAATCACGACGAATGCGGCGTCTCCTGATTGTAATGACGTTAAAGGGGAATTTTGTGCTAATATCCATTACACAGGCAGAGTGAGAGGCTGAGTTTTTGTCTTCCTAAGTGGCAGATGCAGCCGTGTCTGAAGCGAGGGGCTCGGGGGGGAGCTGCTCAGATGATCCGAGCTGCCTCTGGCCCTGACAACACAGCCAGTTCCTTTACCGCTGCCAACACAGACTTGTTTATTAACATAGTCACTTGACACAGGCACATGCTCGAGGCTGTGTGGGCGAGGAAGTGGGGAATGAATGCTAACAGGCTGTTTGTGTCGACTGGAGCAGGAGAAGCTTTGTGACAAGATGCACAGTTTAAAAACAGACAACAAATAAAACTGAAAATAAATCTTCACTGGGCGTGTGCCAATGAATCTATCAGGAAATAAATAGCTAAATGAAACATCTACAAAATTACAAATACGTGCTCCTCAAAGTAAGATGTGATATTTGGCTTCTGAATCCACCAACATTGAAGTGATATATATGAGAGGCAGCGTTGCATAGTTTTAAACCACGACTTGATCCAGAGCTTTGCACCAGGTCAGGTAACCAAGCGTGCATGTGCAAAAAAATGCATGTAACAAAAAGTCAAATACAAGCTGAATGTGGGAGAAAAACTGAAAACAGGACAAACTGAACAAGCTCTAAAATCAAAGAATGTTAAAATCTTTGTGTCTGGTCAATGAATGAATGAAGCTCCAGTCTCGGTTACATATAATTTGTTCAGATATTTGTGGATTTAAATACGTTGGAAGTTCTTCTGAACTCTCAGTACAGCTGTTTTATTTTGACTAGTGTCATTTAAAATCTTAAAAGGAAAAGGTTTATTTTTCAAAGTAAGATATTACAACTGAATAATTTCAATTTGTCCTCAGGTATTCCTTAAAGCAACTTCATTGCTTTAGACAGGGTGTCTATGGCCGCTGTGTTTGATTTGAAATAGGTTTGCAGATACTTAATTTTGTGGCTGCTGTGAGATCACAGCTGTATACAGGACTAAACTGTGGCTGCAATGAAAAGAAGTATCAGTGAGTGTCTAAATCAGACAATGGTGGAGAAAAGACAACTTCTCAAATCAATCCAATGAATTCCTCAGATGATTCAAGGCTGCGGCAGAGTTTCTCACTCAGATGCGTCCACTGGTTCTGTGGTTGAGTGAGAGAAGGACGACTGTGGTGCTGCAAGATTTTCTCTTTTTTGGTTTCCACTTTGGCCGCGAACTGGTCGGTGCTGCCTCAGCTGCATGTCCAGGGCTTACGTGAGACAGAGGGTCCGTTTGTCCTCGGTGTTTAAAGTTTTTGTCAGACGTTATAGTCCGGTGCTTTGCCCAGCGGTTGTCTCAGTTTTATCTGCAGGGTCATGAAGGCGCCCACGGCCACATGGAAGAGGATCTGCCACATGTTCCTCAGTTCATACAGATACATGTTAGACAGACAGATGAGTGCAAATGCCAGGAAGGACTTACTGTTCCTCCACACAGAGAAGTAGGCAAACAGGTAGCACTGAAGGGAGAAGAGAGGAGAGTGTGAATGCTACACACTGACAGTGACCAACAGCGTGTTGTTACCATGAATGATTGGACAATAAAGCTGCTTTCTGTCCAAGTCAGTTACTCTGGACATTTTCTGGACCTTCTCCTGCCAGTCCAAGGTGCATATGATATCTTTCCTCCATCTATCTAATAATTTTCAGTAGATCTGTGGCTCTAGATGAAAATGTTTTAGAAAAGGTAGCACATGGCAGTGAAAGGCGGAGAGCTTCTGCTAATGTTAGTCTAGCTGACAAGCTGCTGAGCTGTAAAGAGTGGGGCCATTAGTCAGCCAGTCAGCCAATGATGAGCTGCTCTTACGGCAGACTATCACTTACCTGATACAGACAGGCTGCTGTGCCGAGGAAGAAGGCAATCACATAATTAAAGTCTTCATCGTTATTCTGCAGACAGCAAGAAAAGACACAGAAGTTAAGTTGTCCATGTCCAGACAAGGTATCATAAAACCAATATAACAACATTTTTTCAGATTTTTTTCTCATTTGTTTTAATAGACTATGAAATAAAGATATTCAAATGGAATGGACAGCGTAGAGCGGACTGGTGAATAGAGAGTATCTTAAAAGGTGTATTTTACATTGACTTCAGTTTCGCCATTGTCCCGTTCACTAACATGGAGGAGGCAGGGTTAATGACCTAAACTGCAGCCAGCCATGGCGGGATATCCAAGCTGTCGTGTCGTCCATCTTACATGCAGTAAATGGTTATTACCATCACGACTGCCAGACCCTACTAGGAAAATAGACCTGGGTTTGACTTTATGTCCTCACCTGTAATATGCTCTCTATAGCATGGACTCCTCGCAGCAGGTTCAGGCCTCCACAGAGGACACTCAGCACACAGGACACGATGCCTTGAAGAGTCACCGGCTCCAACATCTGTGTGGGAGCTGGAAGACAGAGACAACATTTTATTACAGACAAAAATCTGCCTCAAAGAGCGGATTACAACATAAAGAAGAAGAAAAACATATATATTAAAAATTACACGCTGGTTAAAAAGATAAATCTTTAAATAGAAGTAAGTCAAACAAACACTGTTTTTAAATCTTCTGACATTCAGGCAGTAAAAGCACGGATCCATAACTATCATCAAATTAGCATTTTTCATCCTCCAGGACAAAATTATTTATGCTCTCAGAAAATTGTGACTGGCAAGGGCAAACCGCAGGACAGTGAACAAAGCGTGGAGAGCTGCTGTGAGGAGGATGTCAGGCGAAACACAACAGCTCCAAGTGACCCGAGGTGGCATCACTTAGCTCGGGGCAGCTGAGGTGTGACGGCACGTGCAGGAAGGGAAGTGGATCCGAGCCGCAGAGAAACAGTGGAACAATTTGACTTAACGTCATATCTGACTTCTACACATTTAGAATATTCCAGTGTTTTACTCGAAATTCAGTGTTTTAAAGAGATATTAACAGAGATTTTATGCGGCCGTGGTTTCCTGCTGTTCACTGCAGTTTATAAAGTGAACAATCATCACTCACAATGAACAATGAGTAAAGACAATGCACCCAGTATTTCACTGCTGCAGCGAGGCATGCGGTATTCTGAGGAAGTAACTGGTGACCTTCTTGCACGTTACAAGACCAGTGGTATTAACAAGATAACCCTCTATTCATCCCGAGAAGTGAATTAAAGCAGGCACTCTAATATAACAGCAAACCTCTTTGATACTCAACTACTTGCATGTGTATGTTTGTGGCAGCTCATGTCCTACCTATGCCCTTGTACTTGGAGGGTGTGTGCACGGAGAATCCATTGATAGCTCGCAGGTCCTCAGGGGAGAGCTGGTAAGGCGGTCGCAGCTTGATCTCCGTCTGCATGTCAGCCAGGTTGATCTTGGTGGACAGAGAACGGGGGCTGTTGTAGCGCTGTTTTGTCTTCTGGATGAAGGTGTCTGACGGATCACAGTGCACAGCAACAAGGTGGTTTAGTAACACAGGGAGCGAAACATCGTTTGGATTAAAGAGCAGGATATTCTGTCAGGGTTAAAGCAAGATTTTCAGGGGTTGACACACAGAAAGTATAAAAAGATCGATCACAATAATGTTTTAAAATTCATGTTTTCGAATAAATTTTCAACTTTACTTATAGAAGTTTGTATGTCAGACATTTTCTGCTTATAGGTTTTGAAATGTGAAGATAACATAATTTTTTTTACAGCATGTGTACTAAACAATCCTGTAAAAAAAGAACAGAGCTCACCAAATTCAATGAAGGAGTACGGCCGCACGACGCTGCTGATGCGTTTGGTGTCATACGTGACAATGAACTCCTTCTGCAGCTCGTCCAGGAAGCAGAAGGCCAGCACGTTGGGGTAGTTTGCCGTACACACCATCAGGTATCCAACACCCAGTGAACTTGTGAAACTGAAACAAACAAAACACTGCACTGTTTTCTTCACAGAAAAGCTGGGACACTGTAATTTGAAAATCAAGCTCAATAGAACCACAGAACAAAAACTATTTCGGCACATTTCACAATCTCACATCCACAGAGAAACAGAACTACAATGACATTCACATGCACCTGAGCAGACACTATCTTTGGGCCCTGGAGTTGTAATTACTGCACTGAGCACAAATTAAGTTTCCCAGACACAATAACTTCAACATTACCTGAGAAGAAACCTGGTTATCACACTGAAATGGATGTGGTACACATACGTAAACACAAAAGATAGGCAAAGACAACTATATACGATATATATGAAGAATTAATGTAGATCTGATACCAGCATGTCACTGGACACCACACCGAGGCAGGCACCTAATAAAGTTGTGTGATAGTCATAATAACTGATGATGCATGAATATATATGTTTAAACATTATGGAAAGTAAACTTTGCTGAAACCGATATTAAATACCTAAATCCAAGCAGATACCGCGTAATTTAAATCCCTGTAACTGTTTCACTGAAGTTTTTTCTTTTGTTCAAGTCAATAAAAGTTTGTTTCATTACTTCTTAACAAACAAAGCATCAAGTTTGCTATTATGCTTAGAACTATAACAGACTTAACAACAGGCTCTACAGGGCCTCGGATATCACAGAACAAATTAACCTGCCTCATTCTGACCTTCGCTGTGATTGACCTTCTCTTCCTCAGATGCTCCAGGCTCTTTCTCATTAAAGAGGCTCTGATCATCAGAGGCAGTGGTTTTTGAAAGGTATAGGTTACGGCTCACTGATGGGGATTTGTTTTAGTTTATTTTGAGGTCATGTCCTCAGTTTTTAAAAGACTAATTAGCTCTTTACAAACAGCGACTGAGCGATTCAAAGCATTTCCATGAGCTGTCTGACACCTCCAATGAAAACCTGGCTGTCACATCGTTCAAATTAAAAAGCATTTTTATATCAAATTGGCATGAGGGTGAGAGGAGGTTAACAGCTAGAATTAGACTGTTTCATCACCAAGTGGGTCACTTAGGATGATGGTAGAATCATTTAAATCTCCATTTTTATAACTTGAATTTGAAATGCATAAAGCAAATTAAATTCAACGTCACATACAAACAAATGTTCCATGTTCTGGATATCATGTTTTAAATAATGGGTCTAACTTAAAGGGTCCTGATAACAGCCAACCATGAGGACATTAAATGAACATCCAGTAATACCTACTTGACATTGTACGGTCCAGTCTTGAGGGTGCAGCGATCTGGAAACTGGCTGAGTTTTTTGGAGAGACCTTTGAGATGCCGCTTGGTTTCCTGAAGCTCTTTATCCTGCTCATAGTCGGTGGATGCAGAGAGTGGCAGGCCGTCCCCGACCCGAACCACTGAGGCAAACACCACCGTTGACATCTTACAGCTCTGGTGATCTCACTGAAGTCCTGCAGCAGACGTACCACGGGGAGGAGAGCTTATTAAGTTGGAGTTTCTTCTTTTATGTTTGAGAGTTGCTAGAATTGTCTTTAACTTTGTTCAAATTGATTTCAAGTTTCATGCCTGGTTATTTAAGAAGGTCCAATATCATCTTTCCCTGGCCTGGCTCAGGTTAATCCCTTTGAAAAACTAATGCATACTGAAAATGAATAACATTAGACTTAAAACCAGGAATAAACAACATCCATCCCAACTGAAGATTTTAGCGAGCTTTGGCTAATGCAACACTATTGGGGATCACTTCTTCTAGGCCAGTTTCTAAACAGTAGTTGCCAGTGGCAGTACAGAGCAACTGCTGATTTGGTTGTGGAAAAGATGAAGTGTTTTTTCCAGAAAGGGAATTTGTGGTTTTATCTTGGTAAACATCTCTACTTGTTACCACAAGAAACCATCATACTTGAGTCAAGCAAATCAGTGCTTTCCAAACAATGTAAAACAATTCTAATGTTTAGTTTTACAACTTGAACAAACAGCCCTCAGGTACTATTTATCTTGCTGGATTGATAATGTAAACTATTCTTATGCTCCAATAACTTCTACCTTTTCTTCATTGCTTACTAGACTTGAGCCAGAACGCAGTTAATTCTCTTACCAACACAGAGAATTCAACAGTTTGAACATCTGAGCAACAAATGTGCAACATGTACTTCAGTGTTTGTTATACTAGCGTTCCTGATGGTTCTCACACACGCCATGGGTGGGTCCCACCATGAAATCATAAAACTCTCTCTCACAATATGCTACATATGTTTCTACAACATGCTCACAAAGTGCAATAAAAACCAAACTCACTGGCATCACACACACAAACTGCATCTACAATCCTCGGCCTTCCCACAACCAAACTCTCAGACATGAGCGACAGAGCCATCAAACGTCTGGCGCTTGAAGCAAATGACACCGACCACCCCCTTAATCACCACTTTGTATACTGCTGTGAGCCGGACGGAGGTGACGAAGGTCCCTTTCAGCAGGAGCTTTGTCCCCTCTGCAATTGCAGCAGTAACTAAACTGCCCTGGTGAATGTAACATGTATGGTTCTTTATGTTTCATGTGTTGTACCGTCATAACTTTGGGTGTTGATCTGAGCTGAACTGGCTGTGAGAGCAGATTTACTGAATGAAGGATCAGCTCTGATTAACGTATTGAACAGACGCTGAGTGCCTGTGTGGTGGGTTAAAGGGACAGTTCCTCAAAAAGTTCAAATTCACTCATTATCTCCTCACCACTATGCCGATGGAGGGGTGGGTGAAGTGTTTGAGTCCACAAAACACTTTTGGAGTTTCAGGGGTAAACAACGTTGCTGCCAAACCCAATAGAAAGGAAGTAAATGGTGAACACGTAAGCCCCTACATTCAAATTTGACTTGAAGCAGCGTCAGTCACATGTCTTCAGTGATCCACGTGTGAACGCAGCTCCAGAGCAGGACATCAGAGGACATTCAGGCTAAAAACAGAGTCGCTGACATGTTGTCCAGTTGAATTTGAATGTTGGAGCTTACAGACACTTGGATGGCACCACAGAAACAATATGGAGGCATGTTGTGTTTTTCTTTTCTGTTGTTTCTTAACATTTGAAGAAGGAGTCACCATTTATTTCAATTGTATTGGACTTGGCTGCAACGCTATTTACACAAAGTGAGTTTTGTTTTTAAGGTGAACTATCCCTTTAAGTTAGGACCATGGACAGCTCCACGCTGAAGGGGTGGGGGGGTGGTCGCAGAAATGACGTCGCGTCGCGTTTTTACTGAACTTGTGGCAGAAACATTCCATAAAGTTAAACATCAGCTGCTTCAGCGATTAATCGATCAACGACACGTTACGACCACAGGAAAGCTGTCAGCTAGGTTAGCAGCTAACGAGTGAGAAGGGTTAGCTTTATTTCCACATAGCATATGTTTGCATCAGCCACCGAGCCTCGCGTCGCTTTCACGTTCCTCTGTGACACTTCCACACTGTTTACATTACGGGGAGGAAAAAACAAAACACGCTAACTAGCGACATTAGAGAAAACTAGCCACCGTTAGCAGCTAACCGAATCAGCTCATTCGCCCCACCGTTCCCTTCGTGCTAACGTTAGCAGGCTAGGCTAGCTAACAGCATCTCCGAGTGGAGAGAAGCCGCGTGTTGAGCGTGTGCGAGAGGGTCGACGTGAGTGTTTGATACCTGGTGAACCAGTGTAGCATCGTGTGGAAACCAGTGACCCGCTGCTCTGTGGGGGAACAGTTAGCACGGGAAGCTAACGAGCAGACAGCAGGGGAGGGTCTGTCTGTACGTGGCTGCTTCGCTTTGCATTGTGGGTAAGCACGCTCCTCTTGAATGGATGTGAAAAAACATCTGGATCGTGTCATCCGCTTCCGCGTTTGACGTCACAGACAATTTAATTTCTGTTTGATTCCAAAGCTCTCTGCAGCTGCAACCCTCTAAAATCACAAGTGAACAAATATCTTTTTTTAAATTAAATGTCTTAAAAACATGTTAAAGCTTTTATTGCATTGTCTCTACATTTTCATTTCCTCCCCGACTATAGATACTGTTTCATTATTCAAGTATTTACCTCATTTTTAATTCTTATTCCAGTTTCCTCACTGATGGTGAGGAAAAAAAACACTGAAATTAAAATAACATGAAAAACGAATGTGTTTCACTGGCATATTCTCCTATTTTCATACATTCCCTGCTACAATATGGACAAAACCCTGAAAGTGTGGCTGGAGGAAATGAAAACAATACAGACACAGTTATCGGCCTCATCCCTCACACATACCTGTGCAATCTCCCCAGAGCCGTGGCAATGTGTCAGACCCCCTGAGTCCCCTCATGGTGTGTGTGAGAGAGAGAGAGGGAGGGAGGGAGGGAGACACACACATACACACACTGAGAGCGGATGATGGATGTCTGCTGCTGCTGACAACTTGATGAATAGCCACGAGTCTCAGGCAAGTGTTGGGTGCAGAAAGTGTCAGGTGTGAGGAAGGCAGTGTCGTCATTCACAGTGACAGCTTCTAAACAGATGTGCAAACACATCAGCATTTAAATGCATCAGCGTTGATTTCCTCTTTCCCCGGGATGTCATCATTACACAGTTCAACTTTGAGCCCAGCAACTCTGGAGCACCCTGACATATCTAAAAATACACCTTCAGAACAATCTCCCGGTTCAACTGCAGGAGTTTGACATTTTCCTGGAAATTCATGAAATGTATTTTTCTACTCTCTGGGGGAAGAATACCTTCATCCATTCATTATAACGAAAGTGGCAGTGAAAGTTTTGGAGGGGTGGATGCACACACTCTGCTCCCTGCAGTCAGGTGACGCTGAGAAACCTTTGTTTTTTAACGTATTTCATTATAATGTCATTTATACACATGATGTTAGTGGATTACTTCACCACATGATGTCATTTTATGACTTCACAGTAAAATGGTGATGACATCATTCCTACCATATGAGTATAAATTATTTCGATCGAAGCTGTAGGTCTGTAAACACACCTGTATTATAGTATATAATGTCCATATTAAAGTTATATTGTCTCTCCAGACCATTTATTTACAGATATCTTGGAAAATGTAATTTTTTTAATACTTATCAACATTTTATGTTTTGTTATTTTCTACACAAACACGAACACACACACAGACACACACAAACACAGAGAGAATCTACGTTTTGAAAAATTAAGTAATTGATTGGTTTAAGGATATCTTCCCCAAATATCTGAAATGTTTATAATAAACAGTGGAAGTACATGTACCTTCTTAAATCTTACTACATAACTCTGTTCCGTCCCACTGGAGTAATATTGCACTATTACTAGTCAGTGATTTATCTTGAATTGTTCCTTTGCTTTATTAGTGGTGAGATAACTGGATAAATTGAGCCACACATCATCCCACTATTGAAGTTCTGTTTGAAATTATGACTTTTTCTAATGTGTCCTGCAGCGAGTGTAGTTTTAAATCCTTTAAATCAATAGTGAAATATTTCTCAGAACAAAAAAGTAATTAAATAACATAACTTATATTAAATAACATCGTCATAAGTAATTGACAGTAAATGTATTGATCTAATCAGCTGTAAGTTGTGTGCAGAGTGTAACTGCCTGCACATAAACAGATGGTTTCACGGGTCAGTCAGGATTTGGACATTTTCATGGTACAGATCTTATTGATTTAATAAATCATAATTGACTGATCTCTATTAGCAATATTTCATGAGAATGCCACCGCTCGTCACAGTGTTGACTATCAGCTCCATTGATTTCCATGGAAAGTGAAAACCGTGATCTCACGGCAGAGAATGCAAATCATCTTGATTACAGCCTGGTGAGGAATGAGCTAAAGAAAATCTTTATCTCTCTCAAGCAGACACTCAGAGGCCTGTTTGTTTCATTGTTCTGCTGTTTGGGCCAATTTGTACCAGAGTAGGCATATTGAACTGCTTCAGAAATAATAAGAAAAGGAACAAACTTAAGTTTGAACAGAGAGGATAAAATAGAAAGTAAAATCAACGACAGGTGGCTGCTTTTTAACGGTGCATCTAAAAAGAAGAGTCATGTTCAGAGTCGTATTAAAAATTAACTTTAGCAGAGATAAAACCCTGAACTGCTCCAAACACAATGTTCCATAAAGAGAAAATGGCTCCTGTAATGGATACTTGAATCGGAGCAGACCTTGACTTGGTGTTAACAGCCGTCCATTTCTAACGCTTATTTTCCACAGGTTAAAAAGCCCCCCCCCGTAAAAACCCCACAAAGAGGCAGTGAAGAAAACTCGCAGGCATGAAAAATCTCCTGCCTCTTTGAAAATCCCCTGAAGTGAAATTGGGATTGAGAAGGTATTTCTGCCCGTGCTCACAGGCATTAATCAGCCCGGCTCAACGCGGCATGCATCCCAACAACAGCACTTTATCTGAGCACACCCACATGACCGCCCGCCCCCCCACCCCCGATAAATGAACACAAGAAACTTAAAATAAGTCTCAAAGTCACTCCAGAGCTTAGAGCGAGTCTTCAGGTGGAAGATGTGACTCCACGCAGCTTTCTGGATCAAAAAAGCATTTTTCCCTCATAGAGTTTGACATCAGGTCGTGGGCTCCCACTGACATCATGAGTGGGGTCACTTCTAGGCCCCCCTGTGCCATTTCCCAGCCACTTCTCATAATAAAGCCGTCAGTGTCAGATCTGCTGAGTGCTGCTCACGCTCCATTTGTTTCCCTTCTGAGATGCAGAACTGAGAAAAATGTCAAAATAAACAGCCACAAAAAAAAAAAGCTGCTTTCACCAGGACGATCCATCAATGCAGCCACCTGACAAGGTCGATTTAAATGTATTCCATTGTGGAGCCTGCTGCTGCTGCTGCTGCTGAAGTGTTTTAAAAAGAAATTCAAACATGTTCTCACACTCTGGACATTCATCAGTGATTTCTTGATGAATAAACTATCATGTGTCCGTTTTTCTCTTTGAGTTCTTTGCTTCCGTGTCTTTATGCAAAACAGCTCAGATACTGAAGATATGCTCGAGGCTGATTATTAAGATTTAAAACCGTTTTCACCTTTGTCATTTTTTTGTGTTCATTCATAGAAGATCCCATTACTAACAAAAAATAACCAAAAACAAGGAGTCACGGTAGCTGCTCTTTAGAAGCAGTGGTGAAGTAAACAGGTTTACTTTCTATGTTCATAAGGACAATAATGTGTTTAATGGGTAAAGTTAAACCACCGACTGTAAATAAAGATGGACGACACATCCCCACTACGAAAACGAAGGCAAAATATCCTGGACATTGTGTGAAGCTACGGTATCAAGGTCCTGAAAATACACACACTCAACCAATCGCGAATCAGTGTCAGCCATACATCAAGTTGATAGCATCAAATAACCAAAACAACATTTTATAGGACAGTGATGGTCTGATGTTGGCACGAGGTAAAAAAAATCATGTTTCACTGTTGACTAACGGAAACCATCATCCCCGAACATCTCAATAATTATTCACTAAACATTTAGGCTGTAAAAATGTGATGTGTGAACTGTAGGAACACAAGGGATTCTCTTTTCTGGAAATGTTCTTTGTTTTTTTATTTCGCAAGGTCCTTACTGCAAGGGGCAAAACTGTACATATGGCTGGGCACAGAAAAGTCAACAAAGGCAACAATGACTTCTTGGCATAAGTGTGACAGATTCCCACACAACACGGATTCCTTTGGGATAAGACAGAGGTGGTTGTTCTATTATTCAACAAACGAGTGATGTCACTGTGAAGATCCGTAAAGAAAACAAATGGACAACGTTATCGTAGGTAATTGTTTCTCCTCACGGGGGGAGTGAACACCTAATCACATCGATACGTCAACAGGTATCTGTGTAAAAGAACTCTTTCAAAAAGCTCTGGATACGCCACCAAGTGATTATAGTCACTTTGAACACTAAACACAGACACGTGTTTGGTAACAGCCAGAACGTTCGAGACAGTTTCACTTGAACTCTGACGAGAAATGGTTCAGTAACGTCTACTGACAACACATCTTATTCAAAACATGATATTCTGATACAGCACGGAAAAAGGACAATCCAGGATTTTTTCTTCTTTTTCTTGGGATACAAACAATATTTCATTTGGTGACCTAAGGGCTCCAAATTATTCTGCTGGAATGCACAATTACAAACAAACTAGTTCCCTTTAATTGTGTTTCGCGATCCCTGAGAACCATATTCATAATGAAAGAAACCGAAGTCTTGAATAATAAAACACAAGTCCAGCTGCAGATAAGCCTTTAAATATGTATAGTGGCCAAAGCCTTTGGAGCTGAAAACAGAGCATTAAAAAAATTACTTCAGAGGTATTAATGATGACTCTGAATCAATGATGCTGGGAGAAGCTGGAGGGGTCTGGAGACTTCAGTTGATTAATACCTAATTACTCCTCTGCTGTAGTGTGAAGTCATCCATTAAAATGTGGGGGGAGGTGTGGGAGAGCGTGATCCGAGCTGACTGAAGACGAGCGAGGCCAAGGTGTGGCAGGCAGGTGCAGATCTTTATCAAAAATGGCCGCAGCGGTCTGAAACGTTCGGTTCACCGATGGAGGGAAACAATAAACAAAAACCCTGATGCCCAAAATGTAAACCAGAGGCTCAAAGTATTCCAGCGTCTCCCTGAACCATGTGTGGATGCATAGTGGATTGTAGGATACTGGGTGGAATCCATGTTTACTCAAACAGACGGAGGGAAGTTTTAAGTTTAGGACATTTTATCATTATTAGGGCAACGAGTTCCATCTTTATTAAAACGTTGATAAAACGGCACAGGAGCTGCAAGAGGTGAAATGTCAGTTTAGTCAAGAATGCTGTGAACTAATAATGAAAATGTATAAAGCATGAAAGCATTGGAGGGTAATGTGCAGTAATATTTGGCATTTCATGTTCTGTTCTTCACTTGAGGGAATAACGAGGGCCCAAGGCCTCTGAATCACTTCCACTTATCATTTCACAATTCTGCAATTCCAGCAATCGCTTTATCTTTTTAGATCTGTAAGGCCACAGTTTAGAGCAAACAAAAAAATGATCTAGAAGTCAAACTAATCATGAAAGTTATGAACGAACTGATAAAAAAGCATTACTCTGGGTGTTCTTGGGCTTGAGACACGAAGAAACCGTAGAAAAATATTGGAACATGTGTTTGTTGTTAATCAGCATGCGTCTCCTCTAGAGACAGAGCAGGGACGATGGGACTGATTTGGACCCCTGTGGAGAGACAGACAGTGACGCCTCCATCTTTAATTAACGGTGCCCACCACCATGGGTGTGATTCAGTTTCAGACCCCCCACACAGGGCTAAGCAGGGGTCAGTATTGCATAGATACTGTATAGGGTGTAGCTTTTCACATATGCAGTCACAGTGTTTTGGGCAAGTACATGAAATCACTTTTAATTCTGTCCGTGTATTTTCTGCCCATCAGAATATCCATGAAAAGAAAAGTGGTTGGTCTGACTGAAGGTACTCTGTTGGTATAAAAAAATAGCCTTTCGCTGAGGTCATCAAGTCTCCCACGTCAGTGCGGATAGGGCCCTCGCCAGGGTCAAAGGTCACAGTGCAATGACAAACTGTGCAGTGCAACGCCCCCCTAGCCGAGCGCCACCCTCAGAGCTCTTCCTTCCTCTTGACGACCTGGTCACGTCCTCGGAGGCTGCGCATGAAGCCTATGAAGCCTGCCTCCTGCGGACAGAGGAACACGGCACAAAGCCTCACTGATCATCCCACAACTTGAATCCATGTGTAAGTCTTGAAATGCTTCTTCTAATCTTAAACAAATGAGTCAAACATTATCTGAACTTATTGAGATAATGGATGTAAACACAGAATCTACACGTTGGTGCCAAGTTGGAGATGTTTAGTCAAACTCACCCCACGATCTCCGTTGTACTTTTCCACAAACTTGCCGTAGTTGTACTGATTGAATGTTGGGTAACCCTCCACACCTTCCTGCTTACACAGCTCGTGGTTCTGTCCTTTTGTACAGTCCACAGCAGCGTATACAATCTGAGGGAGAGACAACAGAGGGGACATGTCAACGTACACATCCAGCAGAAGAGAAGACGTTACCCAACGAGAACTCCTGAGTATTTCTGTGTTGTAAAAATAGCTGCAGTTATTTTCTCTGAATAAAAACAAATGTCAGTTCATGAGGTTTAAGTCTATTTATGCTCCGGCTCACATTCTGTCATCATATGTCTTTTTATTATTCTATAAAAATGATTTGAATTCACAGCCAGCATTTTTATTGTTTGTGTTCAATTACTTTAGTTTTTCTTTTTCCTAAGCACTCGCTATATTTTTTAAAAGCAAATAAAGTTTATTATAATTGCAGATCAATACTATAAAAAGTACAAACAGGATGTTAGAAGAGTGTGTGATAGAAAAGTCAATATTTAACCACTTCAAATGGGCATTTACAACAAGACGCTACACACACTCACTGTTTACACACTAGAATTATTGTCCTTCAGGTAACATGGTCGAACTTTCCCCTTCGGTTCAGAGCGAAACACTTTGAATAGTGTTTTTTTAACTTCTTGAATATGATTTTTTGGGTGAATTTCTTATAACTAACGTATGAAAATGTGTTTTGTGATATCGCCCTGACCTTTTTGTCATTTCATCCTGGAGTCCAAGTGGACAGAAGTAGTGAAACACGCTGTTGATGATATATGATTGCCTCCACAAGAAATGGACAGACGTGAGGTCACAGCGACCAACAAACTCTGATCAGTTCATTATTCACCAGCTCAGCGTTCAGTTCCTGTCATCGATCCTGGAGGACGGTCTCAGTTCCAGAGTTAGAATTGTTATTGATGCTGTGACCCATCATGACGAGCAAAGTTCTCTCTGGCAGGAAAAAGCCTGTTTGAGAAATGCCGCGCAGGAAACAGATGTAGACAGTTCTGAACACAGGTGGAGGAAAAACCCAACTCCAGGTTCATCGTGACATTTATAAAGTGAGACGCTGCATATAACATGGAGATAAAAGGTCCAGGCTGGTCTTTTTTTCTCTGATGTTATAAAACCAACAGTAATGTGCTCACTTTATTCACCCTGCAGCCTCAGTCCTGTCTGAACTGTTATCCACTAAATCCTATAATGACTGCATCTTTTTTTATAGATCAAATTCTACGGATAAGACAAAGTCTGTAACCTCATCTCGGGCAGATGGCTGTTACCTGTGCCTCCTAATGAGACCTGTCTAGACCTCTCAGGCCTTTTTAAAGGATGCTTCACCACACAGAATCAGATAATACAGATATGGTTCTTTTCAGTCAGGCCTTTTCCCAGGGGCCACTGAGGACCACAGGTTATTAAAGCTCTTTTAAAAAATATATCCTGGATGCTTCAGTAATAAATAACTATCGGCCCATGTGCCTCTTGATGCAAAGCAATTTCTTTAATGCTTCTCAGTATATATATCTCAGGATATCACCCACACCACAGCACCGAGACGACTCTTGTTGTGAGCAGTGACGCATTAAAATCTCAGTTTAGGTATCACAGTATCTCAGTGGAAGATAGGCCCCACTTTCTTTAAATTAGTAATAGAAATCTATTACTAATCTCAGAAACCACACGTGAGGTTCCTCAAGTTCTCCAGAGTTTTCTATCTCTCATCTACAGCTCATGGAGCATCTCTCACCATAAATAGGAAGATGACACACAACTCTCCACAAAGGTGTTTTGTCCTTCTACCTTTGCTGAGTAATAGATTTGAACAAGTGAGGAATCTGGAATTAATGTTTTTGGCCCCAAAGAAGAAATTATAAAGTCAGTGCTCACCTTGAATCCATGACATTAAAATCTATGAACTAGTAGAGCACACCCCTCGGCCAAAGCCCAACAATCCCTTTATTAAACCACATTTAAATTTGCTATATACAGGTTTTTATTTGGATTTGCATCAAACTGCGCACACTCATAAATATCATTCCCCTCAAAATTCCACCAAGTTTCCTGGTAATCAGTTCAGTAGTTTTTGCATAGTCCTACTTACAAACAAACAAATGGACAGGGATGAAAACAAATCCTTCTAAAAATCAGCCAACTAGCACTTTAAAAAACACGACAGGAATTAAAGAATCCCAGCTTCGGCTATAAAAGGTGTGGAGGCATAGGAATAAGTGGTGCATTCTTCTTTAGTTCAACCACTCGGAGTCACTCCTACATAAAAACAACAAAGGAGATTTATGTTGTGAGGCAGTTGCATCGATTAGAGACAAGTCGCCCAAGAAGGCGTGAACGTCGCCTCGCTGATACATGGCTCACTCTGCGTGTCCCTTTGGACAGCTGAAATGTCACCTTCTCTCACGATGCTAAACGCTTGAGCATTGAACCTGCTCACATCAAATAATCATTCCCGGTACATCTGCTTGTTCATGCTGAATGAGGAGATGACAGATCTGCTGCAGAAGGAAAACCATTAAGACACTTTCTCTGCGCCTCCTTCCATGAAGTGCCTCTTAAAACCTCATGTCCTCATTACAAAACACAAGTGCCTCTTTGTTTTGTTCCTTATGCAAATACTGAAATATTTAAAATCTGCATAAGCACAGACATGCTGTTAGATGAGTGCACTGCTGTTGAGTGGTGGCTTCTCTGCATCAGCAGCAAATACGTCTTGCAATGCAAAGGAGGGGACGAGGAAACAAACAAGTCTACTACACGTCAGGGGCAATTTAGTAACAATAAAGGGACAGTCCGTTAATCAAGTTGCCTTACACAGGGAGTCCGAGAGCTCCCCGACAAAACGACTTCACCGACTCACTGCGTTTATTCAGCAGGTTTGAGATGTTTGATGTTTAAAAAACCCAAATAGTCGACAGAAATTTAGCTGACAACACAGTGTCAAATCACTCTCCTCTCCCTGAGCTGGGCAATTCACCAAGATGCTGTTTACAATGGGAACAAATGTCTTTTTACATTTGACGACCTCTGAGTTACGACACTGAGATATACAGACAGTACTTTACAGCAGCAGCACCAACAAGGGACATAATTTAACTACAGACTCCATCCGACTGCTCAGCCCTGTGTGATCAATCAGAGTAGCAGTGAATTGACAGAACAAAATGAAGTCGTAGAGACGCTGCTCTTCAAAGTCCGCAGCCAGTTCCATTATTGATCCATCTTCAGTTGACAGGGAACCTCACATCGTGACATTGATCCAACAGCAACATTTCTGAGGAGCAGCGAATTACCAGTTGAGATGGTCTCAAGTCTCAAGCAGCTTGTTAATCAAACATACTGACACTCAGAACATGCTCTGTTCTCACAATCAAGCTCCTGCACTTTACTTTTATTGCCCCCTGTTGATCAGTGGATCTATTGGTAGGACTGTGCACAGCCTCCTCAAGCCGCAGGAAACGGTGCTGGGCTGTGAAATGATTGTGCTGTAGCAGCCAAACGAGGTCACTACAACTTCTGATTTCATCATGGTGCAACCATGCCCAAAAAGCATTTTCCCCAATATACAATCAACGGAAAAAGAGTGGCTGTAAAATGGCCAATAAAATGGTGAATTTTCTACATTTGATCCAAAAACATTTGGACGGTGTAGAAAGGCTGTTTAATTTTTCATTTTATCCCATTCATGTACGTGCAGCGCCAACAGGAAGTTATCCCGCTCAGCCAGACGACTTCTTGAACTGACATTCTCTCAGGAAACTCGACTGGAGGAGGTCTTCAGCCTGCGTGATAAGATCAACAGTAAATCTCCACAGTCATTGTTTTCCAGGAAGAGAGGGTGTCCCACTGAACGTCCATTTAATTGAGTATCTAAATGTGCACTGTGTAGCTGCATCCTGTACAAACTGCAGTGGTTGATGGGTAGGGACTCAATGCTGAGAATTAAACGGCTCATTGCTGTGGCGGCAGACAGCTTGAAGAAACGAGCAGTTCCAACCAATGTGTACCTTTAATGCTGCTATTGATTAGAATCTGGGAAAAGACAAACAGCTCAGAACAAACCCTGTGCACAGCTCCCCCGCTGACTTACAGCACAGAATGTGGAGTTTTAATTGTTTGTGTCTTCAAAGCCGCAGCTAAGCTTGTGTTTGTCTTTGGTAAATGAGGCAGGGGCGGCTAATAGACTGTGATTAACACCGGCCTGGTACAATACACTGGGGCTTGGCTTTATAAATAGAGAGGATTGCCAAGTAAACACATGCCGAGCCTTCAGATTTACTCCTGTTCAAACACAACTTCTCATCTTCACTGGCCACAGGAGGGACGGCGAGAGGTAAGAGATCTGAAACTTCTGCAGTCACACAAACTTCACAGATAAGGGTTCTTGTGTTTGAACTCCTCTGTGGATTTCACCTTGAGGCCGCCAGATACTGGTTCTAACAAAACAACATCCATTTTCTATATCACTTATCCTTTAAAGGTCATGGGGGGTTAGCTGGAGCCAATCCCAGCGGACACAGAATGAGCGGTGGGGTACACCCTGGACAGCGTAATGCACCGTCGTAAAGAAAAAAACATTCTCACCTACAGAAAATGCTCCTCACCCAATTTTCATGAATTTGGTTTGTGGGAGGAAGCTGGACTAGCTCCACTGACGATGTGTAAAAATGTATATTTGTTAATTATAGTTTTATTTGCAAACTGGATAAATCAAGAACTAACACGTGTTATATTGTGAAGGATACAGTGTAATGTTAAGGCAGATCGTGCAGTGACGCACTTTATTGTTTACTCTGAGAATCAAGGAATCAATGTAGGAGAGTGGTAGCTGAAGTCCAATACCCAGATTTGTATAAAAAACATTTCTTATTCATCTGTTGAGGTTTAATCGCATCGAGAAATGTTGCAATGGATTGCCTCAGAAAAACGGATGACTAAGTTGTTGAGGACACGTCACTGATTTACACCATCTGACATTGATTTTGAAAAATTCCAAACAAATGAAAGAGCAAGATGGCCTGAGCACTATTGGAGCGATGTGCAGTTAACATTAAGTGTGTGTGTGTGTGTGTGTGTGTGTGTGTGTGAGAAAGTGTGTGTGAGTCACAAGTTAAAAAGCTTGAAAATATAGAGCCCTGCAGTCAGAGGGCATTAAAAGTGTAGAGTAGGAGTGGGAGGGTGTTTGGACGCGAGTCATGAGGGAGCAGAGATGATGGAGGGTGAGGATGAGTGTGTCCTGTTGTGACTGCGTGAACCTCCAATAACCCCAGAGCCCAGAGTGTGCAGGGATTTTTCTTTTTTTGCCAAGTTTTAATGAATCAGTCTGATGGAGAGAAAAACTAGTTGTCTGTGAGTTTTCAGAATACCACAGTTATCCTGAGATCCAAGACTGAGTGAGTGCAATGAGGCTGCAGGGCTTTCATGCTAATTTCAGATTATCAGTTTATTTTATGAAACTCTTATCTGACACCTATTGAGCTGTCAAAAAGGCCTGAGTGCAGAGTACAATATTTAACGGATTATCAAAGAGTCACGACATTTAAGGATTGAAATCCAGTTCACATTTGGCAGCACTGCATATAGAATCAAAAGGTCTGGTCAGAGTGTTGAAACATGAAGTTTGCTCTCTCACACTGAGTCACGTGAGAGGATTTACATCTATTTTCCCTCTGTGAATCCAGTTCTATGCAATTCTGGTATCAGATCTTGTAGACAGTGGGTTATAACCATAGACTGTATGGTTATAACAGATAGAAAACTAACATTGTTATATAAAGAAGTAGCTTGTGTTTGATGAATCATTGCCACGCCACAAAGATGGAGGACGCGTCTCAAAGTCAGTGACAACAAAATATTCTATATTCAAACGTTACCATCTTGCACATTTGGAGTTAAATGCATATTAGCGATCGGGGGGATGGAGGTGTTGTATCAAGATCCTGCCGATACACATGCTCGCCCTAGTGTCAGCTGTCAATCACGACATGTCACCCCGTTTCTTTACCATCAGACGACCAATTAAAACCAAACGTATTAGAAACATGGACACGTGAACAAACATCAGTGTCGTAGGAACTACGTAAATGACGGAAAGGATCTTTGAGAAAAAAACATCTTATGTGACTTTCTTAGTCTGATTCATGTCCAAAAGCTAACATGGAGGAGGCAAGCTTTATGATGTAAGCCAGCCACTAGGAGGCGATGGAGATGGCTTCCCTTTCAGGCTGCTGCCATTGGTGTAAATGAATGTATATCGCTGAAGGTGTAAAAGCAGCACTAACCTTCCGGTCCTCTTTGAAGAGCTCCGCCGCTGTGGTGAAATGGGGGACAGCGTTTTTACAATGTGGACACCCTGCGAGAGGAGGACATACAGATGGGACATTATTACAGCTCATTCATGACACTTTTACACCACGACATCCGGCTCCACATCCTCAACAGCACCACAGCACGGTAATAATGACGAACACGATGCTACTAAAACAAACATTCACAGATGCAAACGAAATAACTTTAATCCGTCATTTACTTAGTGACAAAGTTGTTCATAAAGCACGTGCCGCTGTCACAATCCTGAAGTTATTTAGAGGTTTAAGCCACATTAGAGATGGTTCGCTCATATGTTATGAGACTGTAAATCTCTTTATTGCTGCCATAAACACAACCTCCCAGGAGTTCCCGCTCCTCCAGCGGCCATCAGTTTACAGTATGTCAATACTTACACAAACACACCTCGAGGTACCGCAGCTAAATCATGTTTACAGGCAGCAGGTTGTAGCAGGTAACTATTAATCTGTGGGGGAGGATTTTCACATTCTGGCTGCAGCTTACTGAGGACGGCACTCGGAATCAAGCAGAGTGATTGCGGTTGCGACACAGTTTTCCTTCGACTCTCTGTTGGTATTTGAAGCCGTTCGCTCGTCTTGCTCTTCTGTCAAGTGCCCGGCTCGTCTGTTTATTAAAATCAAACTGAAAACCGGCTGCAATTTGACTCTTCTGCCGGAAAGGTTAAAAACTTAAAATCACTGCTTGAGGTGGGAAACACATTCTCCAAAAGGGAAGAAAGCAGATTGTCAGTGGCTGATTGGAGATAAGCGTCCATGTGCAGAGTGAAACGACAAGTCACTCAGCCCTTGATAACATTTAACAGACACAAACTGGATTTTTGAAATGATGTGCTCATTATTACTTGAATCCTTTTGAATAGAGCATCTTGTTTCTCACGACCCTTTTGCAGAAGATGTGGACTAATTGGCCGTGCAGTGATTGACTGAACATTGGAGTCATATATCTCCTTGTTAGACTAATACCGAATTACCTTATCTTATCTTTAACCAATTAGCATACATTAGCAGAACGCTAGAATATTATGGGCAAAATTGGACACAAGTATTATTTCAGTTCTGATATATAATCAATACCATATCTGACAAAGTAGCTTGCAGCCAATTTCAATATGAAGACATTAATATGAAGTGGACAGACTCTCTGTAGGTTCTGTCGACACTATTAAGATTTCACTTAATTGGCCACACAGTGGACTGACTAACTCTTGGACATCGCTCAAATAGAATAACAGATGATTAAAGTTACACATAATTGTATTAAGAATTATCAAACTGTGCAAACCAATAGATTTTCAGTTACCCACGGCTGATTTCAGGATTTGTTCCCATGACTCGTTAGCAACATTATCATAATGATCCCACTGAAAATGGATTTAAGAGGCTACAAGTGCACTGACTGAGGGTGGCCGCTGTTTCAATTAAGTATTGCACTGTTGTGTGTATGTATTCATTATTCACTAAATCGATTTAACCCCAAATTTATACAAAGGGACAAACAACAAAGAATTGCATGAGTCCTTTCAGGAAGGAGAAGATATGAAAGCATTTAGTTTCCGTTTAAGTCGGAAGAATCTCCAGCCTCGATATCTTATGAAGCAGCTGTAACTTATCAAATGCTCTATTAGACGCACAGATCCCTCTCTGAAACAGTGAGACAGCAGTGAGCAGGGTGCAGATGGAGTAGGCGGAGTGGAGGGGCGACAGTTTGCTGCTGCCTGATGTGCATCTGGAGCGTTTCTTTGTAGAAGGGCGAACCAAAAGGGCCCGATGGAGGCAGGGGCCTGGCCGCTGTGCCCTGTCTGGCTTTGAAGCCCTCATCAGACACAAGGGCAGAAAAACAGGGACAAAGGTGCCTGTGTGTGTGTGTGTGTGTGTGTGTGTGTGTGTGTGTGTGTTGATATTTAAGCAGGTTGGCTGCTCTGTATTCCTTCTGCATCTGTGTTTCGTTTGAGAACTCGGGTGAAGAGTGTCATAACACCAGGTGCCTACATTTTTTAAAATAATCTTTTCAAAGACGAGTTCAATGACAGAGATCCACCTCTCTCTTTCTGGAAGTCTCATTTAAAAGAAAAACAGCTCAGTTAGTTGGTGCCAAAGACTTTTCTAAATCCGAAGTTTGAGTTAGTTGATGTCAAATGTCCTCAGAGAACAGATGACTGGATGTTTTTAACAACTTCACTGCAAATTGGAAATAAACACGACTGACGTATTGGGACTCTTTTCAGTTTGTTTATAATTCATTTGGATTCACTTTATGTCCAACTGGTGAAAGTAAGAAGAGAAACATATCTGCATATCTTCTGCTGCAAATGTTGAGGAGACTAAACCACAGAGTGAAATCAAAACAAGGCTGAACTCACCATTACAAAGCCCAGGGTTTAATAGAGCTTTAAATGTCAACAATGTTCCTCATGTTCCAGGGTTTTACAGAGATTCATGTTTTCCCTGACATATGAGGTGGAACTGTGTTTTTTTTTTTACAGATCTATTCTCAGTCATGTGAATCATTCCTCCGTCTCCCCATGGTTTAGGTGGAGTTTCTATACCGTGTGATGAGGAGCTTGGCAGGAAGCGCCGAGTTACGTATGCACCCTGGTTTAAAACCAGGATATGATCACACCAAGAGAAAGGCTGTGATCACACTTGGTTGCGACAACTTAACACACACAAGATATTTTGATCAGAATAGCCAAGAAATGAAATTAATCCACCTAGTGCCACTTACTTAGTTGTACAGGAGTGATTTCTAATCTTTGCAGAGGGTTAATTACCAGTTGTGTCACAGAGATGTAATGAATAAAGCTCTTACAGGGGGCGTAGAACATGACCAGAGCGTGTTTCTTCTTCTTCAGCGCCTCCCGGAAATCCTCTGATCCGAGATGGCTCACGCTGGAGGGCTTATCCTCCCAGGACTGCTCTGGTGGAGGTGGTGCTTGGGGACTAGAGACATGAAACACAGCAAAGCAAAGTGTATTAAGTATGACAAACACTGCTTCACGTTTACTGTAGGTGGTAACAGTGGCATAAATATAGATACTGAGTAGGCATACGTAACATACGCAACAGACCTGCTCCCAGTAGCAGCTGTGATATAATACTCAGTGAGTGAGATGTCAGCGTTATATAAAATAATGTCTGTTGACCTCTGGCCGCAGACTTTGTCTTTATGGAGTAATTTCCACAGCTGTAATGATGTCATCGCGACTCCATTTCTTTTCTTAATGACCTTTTCCAAAGACAAATCTATTGCATGTGGCAGCTAATCTAAGACAAACAAGAGCGAAGCTACATTTTTTAAACTACGGCTTTAATATCTGCAACGTACATGAGATTGAGTTTGTTTCAGAATGTGATAACTTTACAGTTTACAGTAAAGATGCGAGTGTGTTGCCTGATAAGTGTGTGACTCACTTGTGCATGAACTCGATGATCTTCTCTTTGCTTCGGAGATGCGGCAGCGTGTACTTCTCCTCACCTTTCTGGAAATACTTCACGGTTGGGAAACCGGAGATCTTGAAGCGTTCCCCCACAGCCTTGTGCACAGTGGTGTCTACGGCTGCTAATGCACCCGGACTCTATGAAGAAAAAAAAAACAATAGCAAACAGGAAGTTAAAATGCTCATTTAGACCCATCGAGGACCCTTAGACTAAATCTTTGCATGACACCAATTAACACCGACCCCTTTAAAAAGTTCAACGTTAACCTTTTCTGTTTTTAAAAGTGCTGCATTACAAAAACACAAGCAGAGGAACAAGATGGAGAAAAATAAATGATGCGTTGGGTCTTAAGAGCTCAGGGTGAGAGAGGCTCCGGTCCATCTATATTAGATAACGGCCAGGCTTTTACATTGACCTCCAGTGCTGGGCAGAGAGCCACAAGGAGAAGATCCAAGTGTCTGGCCGGGGGGACTCTCATGGATGAGATAATTGCAACAGTCACCAGGCTGGAGTTTTACAGGCCCTGCCCCTGGCTGGGGAGTGTTAGATTACCACAGAGGACATAATGGTGGAGAGGAGAGACGAGGAACACACCCACCTAATCAGAAACACATTGAGGGCCGTGCTGTCGGACAGGCTGACCGTGAGGCTACACGCACCGGCCAGAAGCCTTCCGGCCAAGAGGAGGGATTATTATGATCTGCTAATGAGGCATCGCTACACCCACGTAGATCCATGTGTTAATCAGAGTGAGAGATGTGAAAAGTGGACAAAACAAATGGCTAGTAGACGTGCATGCTGCACACACACACACACACACACACACACACACACACACACACACACACACACACACACACAAACCAAAGGACAAGTTATGAAACTTACATTCGCTCCCTTGTTGAGTATTTCAGCAGCTTCATCATATTCTGGCTTCATCTTCTTGCAGTGGCCACACCCTGAGAGAGTCAAAACACACATGAGAGGCCGACTGGTGACAGTTTCCCGAGAAGGATATCAATACGGCCATTTAGGAGTCCAAACAATGCTAAAGTGTTTCTGCAGGTTGTGGTTTTAAACTATTCATGGACAGAAAAAAACAAACTGTACTTGATAAACAGAAACAAAATCTGAGGTCGATCATTTATGCATTATTGTTCTGAATTAATCCGTCAACGGCTGCAATGCTCTGATGTTGTGCATGGGTGTGTGTGTTTGTTTGTGTCTGTGAAAGCATGTTGGATACACACTGGGACTAAGGCCCGGGTGTAAAGTGAGTGATGACTGCAGCGGTGAAAGAACGAGAGCAAGAGGAGGATAAAGGGAGTTAGAGGGGAAACAGAGCTTGGCAATATGACTGAAATCAATATCATGCCTCGTGGTGTGCTTTATCATATTGTTCATGGTAAAACCAATGTGATTTTTAATATCTCACTGCAAGACATAAACAATCTATTGCGTTTCATGTATTAACACCAGAGCCAAGCACGGCAGTGACAAGTGTAGAGGAGATTGAAAGTCATGCTGCTGAATAAGGAGTTAGTCCAAAGAGACAATATAGTGACTCTGGTGGTTTGAAAATGATTTGGTTTTAAATAATATACATAATAAAACCCATAAAAAGTGAGATTCACATGAAACCAAAACAATATGTAAGTGTTTGGTTACAGATATGAATGGAAATCCAAACAGTAAAAAGAAGATTTAAAATTAAACATAACACTTCTGAAACCTTGTTTTCTTTTCAAAAATAGCTTCATGAATGAATCATTTTGAATTCATTGAAATATTTTTGTGTTTTCCTAGATCATGATTTCTCAATGTACAGATCAATATTCAAAGAAATCTCAACGTCGCCAAACTATTCACCTCTCTGTTCTTTTATTTAGGAAAAAGGTTCCAGATTACTGATGTGGTCCTTCTGCATATCTCTATTATCTAGAGCATAATATGAATAAACTCCACGTGTGTTTAATATTGTATACGCAAACTGGTAAACATTATTTTTTCGGATCTAAAATGACTTAATACACAACACAACATTGGTCTCACACAATGTACAGGGTGTTTTGTCTTAAGATGTAATGAATAGGCTGTCTGATCAGGGATGAGAGTGTGTGTGTGTGTGTGTGTGCGCACTCTCACAGTGCTGCTGTGCACAGATGCATGAAACAAACTTGGTACATTTCCAAACATGGTAAATTGCCCTTGTCATAACAGTTCAGGAATTCCTTTCTTCAATACATAATGCAGCGCTGGCGCAGGCTATAAATCAAGTGGGATATCGCTCGTGGAAAAAAAATAGAAGCTGCTTCGCTTTTCATCTCAACCATTGTGGTGCGTGATCATGTAGATTGTGTTGAGGCTGAACAGAGATGCCGAGTGACTAAAAGGACTTTGTCTGACCCTTCAAAGTGATGAGTAAGAGAGAAAACCAAATGTGTGTCCTGTGCTCAGCATCAGCCTGTTATGCATTCAGCGCAAGTGGTGCATGGTCAGTGTGTGTGTGTGTGTGTGTGTGTGTGTGTGTGTGTGTTATAACACAAAAAGTTTGCTGATTCAGCCTGAGTGTGGGGGAGAAAAGATCAGAGTGAGGAGAACGACCTAACTGGCCACACGACGCTGTTATAAAACCTGATGTAGGCTTAAAAACTACCTAGCCTTGAGAGCTCCCTCTGCCTCACAGCAAATGTTAGATGTCAGGTTGTTGTGAGGTCATTTTCTCTGCAGCCACTGCAGCTGTGAACTGAGTCACTGGCTACTCGTTAAGTGGAAAGTCGGGGGGGAAAAAAACCCCCAAACATTTAGGCATCAAACACTTTCAGTCACATCTGCAGGAAAGAGCTTTTGTGTAGCTGTGGGAGTCCGGGAACAGCGTTCAGTTGCCGGCTGTGCCACCGTAGGTTTGCGCGTAAATAACCCTCACTGAGTGCTGTTTGGAGGACGCTGAGAATGGCCATGCTGAGAGGTGGACAGAAATGCAAGCTGATGGTGGCTCGGAGACCATTAATCTCACTCTGACAGCAGGGCCATTAAGAAACTGCATTGAAGCTGCAAGGGTTTGTGTGTGTTTGTGTGTGTGTGTGTGTGTGTAAGAGAGACAGGGATATGCAGTGTAATTGTGTGCAATAAATGTTTGTGTCATTATGTGAAAGATGCCTTCGATATCCGTGGAGAGTGTGTAGATGTTTGTGTGTGCAAGCTGAAAAGACGCAGCCTGTTTCAGCTGACTGCCCTTGATTTGAGGAGCGTGGGTGACTGTCTGCTGTCCGCAGGGTGAGTCGACCGCAGGACGAGCGTCTGTGAAGCTGTGACACCACATTGAACTAAAAACTATTTTCTATATACGAGGATGGAAAAAAAAAAAAAAAAAAGATCCTGAGTCATCCAGTTTCCTGACATAAGTAACTAATAACTACACGTCAACTAATGAAGGTAATTCATCTCTACCAGTTCTCAATAACATGTGGTGTCAGCTAATGCTTAAGTTAATATTGATATAAAAATGAGATGATGGAACCTCATAGCAGATTTTAAGCAGGATGGATGGTTTAATATAAACCTAATCCTGAGCTCAACTATGAAAAAACTTTGACTCAACAATATTAGTTGTCGTTTTTTTAAGATACTTTCTTCTAACTTTCATTTTGGCAAAGACTTCAGTGAAAATGCAAATTAACCTACATAAAATAAATGTCATACAGAGTCTGCTGAAGCATCAGAGCTCAGCTACGCAGCTGTGCACGGTGGTAAAACATTAGCACACATCTGATGCAACTAAATGTCTTACACAGGGTGATTTTCATGCCAATTACACTTGTGATCGATAAGCCAAGTGGCATTAAGACATTTTGGAAAATGTTTGACTGAAGCTGCTTTCAAAACATTCTCTGCAACCCTGAACCCTTTTTACCCCGAGGAGCTGTGAGAACTCAGCGATACACACAGTTAGGCACTGGAGCTACTTATTGACCAAAAGCTGATCCAAGCGCTTGCATGCAACATTTCTCTTGATCCTGGTTTGTACGTCTTGTGCAATGGTTGTTTTTAAATTCCAAACAGGCTGATCTCATAAATACCATTATGTCACTTGGCTCTCCCGGTTCAATGGATCGTATTTACAGAAATTCCACATTGTGACAGTTTCTTGTCCAGCCAACTGGCAGAAGTTAAGTTTGAAAATAAATATTTTAGAGTTTTAGGTAGTGCATAATAATAAGTGGAGGTAGCATGTGCCTCTGCAGTGAGTGAGTGAGTGTTAAGGATGTGTTTATATCACTTCAGCCACTGGAGAGTCTTTACCCTCAGGGTGGAGAGCAGCGCTCCAGGACACCTGCAGGTACGAAAGCTCTGCAGCAAAGTATGCAATGACATTTTGAAAACAATGAATCATCATTGGGGCGAAAGCTCGGGGAAGGAGGCTTATGTTTATTTATTCATTTAGTTTTATATTGTGGAGACTGAGATGAGCAAAAAAGGAGCAGGACAGGTAGAGAGAGAGGAGGACGAGGAGGTGGTGAAGTCAGAGGTTACGAGTTAGACATTGGGAGCAATTCAGTTCAGATGGTGTCGTGCAGCTGTTTCACTCGGAGGGTATTTCTAAATGGGGTAAATCTATTTTCATGATTTTACAGTTACAGGTCGTATTTGTCCACATGTAAAATCTCTCCGGAAAGTTCCCTCACACGCAGGAGAGCTGGACCAGAGCAAAAACAATCTGGAACAGGAATAAACAATCAAACCCACTGAGAAACTCTGGCATGTTTACAAGTTCTTTGTCAGAACAGCAGTACTGGGCGAGAACACATCCAATGACAGCCAGGCTGATGTGAACCATATGGCGATGGGTTCGTATTCTTTGTGACGATGAACTCGAGAGTGAGTGAGTGAGTGATACAAGAATCTAAAGTTACTACACAGCTCGTCCTCAGGGTTTTCCACAGTCCAGCATTATATTACATTATCAGAGCCAAAGACTAAAAAAACTCATGTGAGCTGCCTCCACTTTTTCTGCTCTCGTTGTTTAATGCTGTCTCCACTTCCTGCAATTGGTCCAAAAGTCCCAGCTTTCCAAAAGGCCTTTTCCACGGCAGACATTTTCCTCCCATCTCACGTCAAAAATGTCCACAACATTATCTGGTTGCCATCTCTTTCTTAAGTTGCTTCTCTCCAGCTGAGAGTTATTGTGCGCATGAGTGAAACAGAGATGATATTTTCCGTGTGTCTAAATGACTGTGAATCTGTGAGAGAATGTTTTACGCAGCAGGGAGGAATGTGAAGCTCTTCTGAAACACTGCTGCACATATTTTACGACTGAAACCATTTTCTCTTTGCTGAGGACAGAAAAGTGGGCTGTTAGAGCACAGGCCTGGAAATGTTCTGTAATATTTCTTTTTTAAATCCTAAATCCCGACCATAGAAATACCAAAACCAAGTATTGTGTCTTTTTAAAGAGAAGGTTTGACTTCTTCATTGGGAACCGGAGCTCAAAGCTGAATTCCACCAACACACTTTGGAGAAGTCTGAAGTACTGACGGAGACTAATGCAATCACGGTTTTGTTTTTTTCATGGGATTTGTTGAGAGCAATAATATTGAGAGAGGAGCTACTACACCCTTTATTGTTGTTTAAGTTGAAAACTTGACAATTTTTTAGAAATGACTGATTGAATATCATCTTGGTTTTGGGCTGCTGGTTCGACAAAACAGGCAATTTAACTTCATTATTGAGGCTTTGACTCGTTTAGATAATAATTTTAGATTAATAATTGATTTATTGTGGAAAAAACGCTGAAAAAGACGCTCTCTTTATTACTTACAAGGGGCATAGAACATGATCAGGGCGGCGGGATGTTCCTCCAGGAAGACGTCAAAGGACTCATCAGTCAGGTGGAAGACTGCAGAGTCCCCCTCAGACCACGGCACCTCGGGCGTCTTCGGCTGCGGGGGCTGAGGGCTGAAACAGGAAGGGGAAACCAGAAAAGGCAACGGAGGTCAGGGACAAATTTCAGCATGTAAACAGTACGGAGCAAAAATCAGCAGGGCTGTAACACACACTCCACCCAAACACAACCACACACACACACACACACACAAAGCAGCATTGCCTTACTGACAGCGCACGATGGCGCAACATCAAGAACGAGTGGACACTGAGATACACAAATACAAACTCCCTGCACTTGTGCACACACGTCATTTAAAAAGACACACATTAACTTTGGTCATCTTCAGGGACAATACAAAGACCATTTATTTTCTAAACACTGGCGCAAAAGTCAGGTTTTGTCCAAGTAAGGCCACAACTGTTCTGCTAACCCCCCCCCCCCAACCACAATTCACAAAGTCCCCCTTACTGTAACCCGCACGTCAGAAATGATGTTTTACCACATACGGACCAGGCTTTAGTCCCCATGAGGTCGACTGGTCCTGACAAGATCAGTGTTTATCCTTGAAAAGGTCCTAAAGAGGTTAAAAAAACCAAGTATACACACACAAACCCCTTATGCAATCTTTTCTCATCATCACTCTGGTCTGAGCCAAGACGCTGAAGCCTCATGAGACTGTAATCTCTTAAAAAAAACACTGTTAAGAAATGTAGCCTGTCCTCCAGATACACATCTCTAATCAACAATGTCATCTGTCGAATATATCTCTCTCTCAATACAGAAGAGCTCAGCACCGGAGTACACCAGGGACCGAGAGTTTCATCCATTCACCATGCAACTACACCGCTGTGCATTATCTGTGTGACGTTGGTGGACGGGACTAAAACATATAAATACCGTGATGTGAGAGTAACTGACAGATTCTAACTTCTATTGTTCCTGCAGACGAAAAGTGAATAATTTATGCCGGTGAAAACAAATGAAAAAAGTGAAATTGAAGGGAGAAATCATAAAAAACTGAGACAGCCGAATCTGAGAGAAAGAGAAATTTGGGGGAGAGGAGATAAACGGGGGAGAAGAGATAAAAAAAAAAAAAAAAGGAAAAGGCGGCGTGCGCTGCAGAGATAGCCCCGTGTTCAAGACATCTCAAAATATGAATGCAGCAAATCAGACTGTTCTGGAAAAACCTTTCAACA